ACACATTGTAAATAATCGGCCGGGTTTCCATCGAGACACCGTGGTTCAAATTTAGGGAGTTTGATGTTCCCATTATCCCTGAACGGCGAAATAGTAACATCAAACATGTCATGCTTAACATCAGACACATCGTTACAAGTAACAGACAAGTCACCATGACTTACTTTCCTGTTTGCATCCAAGACACTCTGTCCCTTCTTTGACCCAGGTATTGTTGAACTTGACCCAATTCCAAAAACGTTCCAGATATTGCTTGTTCAAAGAGGACTTGACCGGCACCAGGAAAGATGAACGGTGTCTATCCAAAGTCGTGCCAACTGTCGAAAACCGTTTGAAAACTGACGTTGTACTGTCAGAATCTGTCAGCCTCGACTCGTATACCGATAATGCCCAGCTCTTGCTACGCTGGGAATCACGCTGTTCCTCGAAGCTTCTCAGAAACGCTTAGTAATAACGGACGAAAAAACCAAAACACAAATTGGCGACTCGAGGATTCTTTATTGTATCACCAACATATAAATTTGTATGACTAAGGTCTGTGAACAAATATTACAATAACGAATCACAATATTACTTCTGACAGTTGTCTCCTGACTTCTTTCTGAACAGCGACCGATGAGACGATGACTGTCGTATTGATGCCTCCGCGAAAATTGGGGAAGTTGGTCTTGAGCAAACAACCATGAATTGATCGTTCAATCTTCAACTGCATTGACACTCCCCGGCAAAAAGGGATCTATTCCTTTTTTCCATCACGACCAATACACGTTGACTTAGATGCCATTGCGAGAACCTGGGTCACACGGACAGAGCTGAAATGGAAAACAAACAGCAAAGCCAACACACCACACGCACACCCACAGCACAATCTCACACATCGATGACGACCTGCGACTTCCAGTCAAAGGCATTCTCTTGCAACACAATCGGCACTTGCCCGAATGACTCTTGTAGAATACAACGTGACCATAGCAGCACCCCACGATACTCTACGCACATCCTCTTATCTACTCACTACCAATCACCACTGAAATCGCTTGCCACTCGTTCTGCCTCAGTCCTAGTAACGGTGACGTATGCGAGCCTCAGTCGTTTACACTCTTCCATCTTGGAGTGTGGGACCGCAGCTAACAATTATCTCCGTATGCATTTCAATCTCAGCAATAGCCTAGCCTCCCCGGCGTATACGACCCTGATATGTATCCATATATATATATCTATATATATATGGTGTTCTCGTTTCTGTTGCTTTCTTTTTCTGTAACCATTTCACATTGATGAACCTGTCTCCTTTATCAATGTATATTCCCCTTATATTATATATAATATGTGTGTTTGTTGACAGTCTGTGATATTTCGCTATGTACATGGATCGATACTCCATTATAATTAGCCAGTCATGTTAAGACTGTCTATCGATTTGTTCACACACTTTTGGACATTCATATATATTTTGCTCTCACACTATTGTGTGATACATATAGTTGGTTCTCCTTGTGTTTGGAAAATAGATGTATCATCGCAAAACTAGTGGTCCTCTGATTTCCGTCATCTTGCGACAGGACTATTCAATTCTCAACCAGTACATAACAATAATTTGGCGACAAGTACATAACACAACCATCTGCTGTCTCTAACATCAATCAGTTCATTCACGGATGTAGAACACTTGCAACAACTTCAGAAGTAATTACGAAGAAAATTTTAACAAAATTATGCAATGACAGCAAGGTACGAAAACAACAAGTAAACACAACGAGTCCAAAAAACACCAAATGATATGACACACCACACATATATACAAACAGTACACACAAACTCGCAGATCGTGTCTCGATGGAATTCCTTTGAAGAATCGCAGGACACACACCGGTTCAACCCTTCCCAGGTTGACGATTGTAAGTTGTGGAATGTCCGGACACAAACAAGATTAACCAACAATTAGAATAATTGGAACTCACAAAATTATTTAACACAAACATATGTACAATCAACACATCAAATGTTGTGGATTCTGGCACGACAAACTACCCTTGAAGAACTGTAGGACTTACAGCAGTACGCCTACATTCCTTCTCAGGTTGATGATCCAAGTGGAAGTAGTCCGGACACAAACAGAATTACCAACAGCTAGATGACAGATGATATCAATTCAGTATGTACAATATGAGCATATGTACAAAATCACACACCAAGCACATTGGACTGCTCATCGATGCGCTACCCTTTGAAGAATTGTAGGACTTACAGCAGTACGCCTGCAACCCTTCTCAGGTGGACGCTCTAGGTTGGAAAATCGTCGCAGAGTTCATTTGATGATTTCTTTCTATCAGCTATATCCTCAAGTCTGAACGGTAACACGCTCATGTCATCGTATCGTAGAATATAGATGACGAACAAACACACGACGTATCTGGTCAACCAAACGTAGAAACAGAGTAATTTACACCAAAGATAATAGCATTCAAATAGTAACTTGAAACTAGAAATGCTTTTATTCATGCAAGTCAATTTAACAATTACTCTCTCGTTTACACTTGGCTTATCCTCACTAAACTGAGCAATATCTTTCGTCTTTTCAAATGCACCAATACTATCATAGTCATTGCACAAGATACTTGAGTTGATGGGCGTCTGTTTCATTGTGGATGACAACATCAACGACGACTGATTGATACCAGTTGATGGAGTTAGCGATGGATCAGAAGCTGTTGTTGCTCGGCTTTCAGAAAGTTGTCTAACTGCAAGATTACCACCACTGCTGTCTTTCACTACTAGCTCGGGGTTAGCACTATCATCTGATGATAAGTGCGCTACACGCCGATCAATTACACTGACAGTTTGACAAGTATGCATGCCTTCTGCAACTGCATCTGCATTTATTTCTACTTCACCTTTCAGCTTTACAGAACCCTTATTTTACTTAGAAGTAGTAGGCTCTCCACTCATTTCATCATGACCAACCAAAGACAAATCTGCACTATCATGATCATTATCACAAATGTTAAATTTACCATCATCTATCTGGTCGACTTCATCATTTTCAACCTCTTTAATAACAGCAGTAGAGGACTTGGATTCTTCCTCACAAATCCCTAAAGATTTCATACCTTTACTCTGACTAGTAATACCTTGCAAACTTGTAGAGTCAGAACTGCACTCTGAAGCAATAACTCTATTCCGTGACACTCTATTCAACAATGGCTTACCAGTTGCAACTACAGACTTCTTCACCGAACCGTTATCGTGACACAATTCGGAGTCATGCCTGAAGTTTACATTTAGCTTATCACTGAACTCGCTCACTGGTTCACAGTTCACCTTCGTATGCACCTCTTGCAAACGTGTAAAACACAACCGTGTTTGCCAAGCATCTGTTACACTCACTAGGTCTATATGCATTACTAGACACCATAGAGCCTTCTCGATATCCACCTCTCTGAGACCCTTTTGTCATCAATGATTGCGTTTTTCCCTCAGACTGCTCTATCCTAGGGGTGAGATGCAATAGACTGGCGAACTTGCTCATAGATAGATTGACGCTATCTTTTACTAGTTTCAGGATATCATCAAACTTTGGCTCGATACCCTCATCGTCCATACGGGAGCTCATCTTCACCCACTTCCTTTGCAGTCGAGTAGGTAGGTGTCTTGCTGTTACTTCTAGTATGAAACTCGAGTTGTGGTCACTCATGCAATTCATAGAAATCAAGGTATTCTTATAAGATTATCTATAAACTCAGTAAATGCCTTGGAGTCATCTTGAAGCTGACTGCCGTTACCTTAGACAGCTTCGTATACGTTCCCCACAATCATTGAAGGTCTTCCAAACCTTTGACGTAGTATGCTCATAGCCTCGTAGTAGCCCTCTTTTGGCTTCATAAACTTACAGCATTGTATAGCTCTTGAAACATCTCCAGTGCAATACCTCATCAAATACATTAACTTCAATTCATCACTTAATAGAAAACTATTCAGCATGATCTCAAACTCCTTTACACATTGTAAATAATCGGCCGGGTTTCCATCGAGACACCGTGGTTCAAATTTAGGGAGTTTGATGTTCCCATTATCCCTGAACGGCGAAATAGTAACATCAAACATGTCATGCTTAACATCAGACACATCGTTACAAGTAACAGACAAGTCACCATGACTTACTTTCCTGTTTGCATCCAAGACACTCTGTCCCTTCTTTGACCCAGGTATTGTTGAACTTGACCCAATTCCAAAAACGTTCCAGATATTGCTTGTTCAAAGAGGACTTGACCGGCACCAGGAAAGATGAACGGTGTCTATCCAAAGTCGTGCCAACTGTCGAAAACCGTTTGAAAACTGACGTTGTACTGTCAGAATCTGTCAGCCTCGACTCGTATACCGATAATGCCCAGCTCTTGCTACGCTGGGAATCACGCTGTTCCTCGAAGCTTCTCAGAAACGCTTAGTAATAACGGACGAAAAAACCAAAACACAAATTGGCGACTCGAGGATTCTTTATTGTATCACCAACATATAAATTTGTATGACTAAGGTCTGTGAACAAATATTACAATAACGAATCACAATATTACTTCTGACAGTTGTCTCCTGACTTCTTTCTGAACAGCGACCGATGAGACGATGACTGTCGTATTGATGCCTCCGCGAAAATTGGGGAAGTTGGTCTTGAGCAAACAACCATGAATTGATCATTCAATCTCCAACTACATTGACGTAAGCCTACTCGTCTGTTATCACCCAGTATGATACCGTTAATTTTGGCGGATTCGATTATGCATCGGATCGTGCATCAGAAAGGAAGAGATAGGAATACCTTGGACCACTATAAAGAGACTATTGGAGAACTGGATTTTGCAGATAATGTGTCTCGTATTACACAAACTCGAGTATTTACAGGTGCGTTTCTAGCACAAATGTTAAGTCATTCAGTTCTTCTATTGGGTCAGAAACTTGAACAGTGTGTCAAGAAAGCGTTTCCAACAGGCTACTGAGTGCTCTTATCAACAGCTGCCTAGGCTCCATATTAAAGATCAAATGGACAACCAAGAAGAATCATCATCAAGAAACTCTGGCAACAAGCTATAAGAACTCTGACTTCTATATACGGTATCTCGTTCCAAGACCGCAAATTTGATATTTTTGTAGTACCGTGGTCTGGAAATGTGAGGATATGATGTAATTAAATTTAAGTTTTAGTAAGCTTTTCAACTAATCTCCCCCGTGACCTTGAACAATTCAATTTTCCCGTATTACGGATGACAGATGGGGAGTTTTTGTGTCCTTTTATGGTTTGTTCATGAATTTCTACTTTATCAAGGTGTCCTTTTAGTTTCTTACTTATTCATTTCCAATTTGCCGTAGTAAACGTGGCCCTAAAGAGTCGTAATCAGCCAGAGGAAGGTGACTTAGCACGCGGTGTCCCGTAAGTCGTAATTTACATAACTTTAATTCACTGACAGGCCAGAGTCAGATCACAAAGTCGTTGTTAATGAGTAGGTTTTTTGGTTTTTATTTCTATGCCTACCTTTGCTTTCAGCTCCATCGAAGATGTACCTAGATCTAGTGAGTCCGAAGTAAGTCTAATAAGATACTTTCTTACTTCCGATATCCAGTATCATTTCTACGAGCTAGTATAAACCAATTTGATTTCTTCGTGCCCGCCTGTTGATTGTGAGGTATAGATTCTTGATCTTCGTTAAATTTCTGCGCAGCTCGTCCCGCCACTCAACTATCGTAGCTCTGGTTAACTCGAAAAGGAGTAGTGCTGGGATTACTTAAATATGGTTTATAGTATGAGGTGTGTTAAAACTGTTACTACTGTGATTGGAGTTCACACTTAGTCGTCCGGTATCGTCTTCAAAAGAAAAGGATAATAATAATGATGGATATAATTAGTGAAGTTATTCAGACTAATTGACAGAAAAAGAAATAAAGAAAACGTAACAACAGTCAGGTGATTAAATTTGAAGTTAATATACATATATATATCGGTAAAAATAATAAGTGTAGTTAAAGTTGTCAGGAGAGTAAGACGGGAGAGAATGTAAAGAAGTAAAACGAAGAACTTAGTTGTCTACCCCTGAATGGTGTATGAGATTTTTAAGTGGATAGGCTATTTGGACGCAGTTCTTGTGTCGCTGCATGTTTGTCCAGCCTTCGCTTAAGGGCGTCCACAGACGGTGCCATAGCTACATCTGCCGGTAAGGAATTCCAGGGATGGCAGACCCGCAGTGAAAAGAAGTGGGAGCGCACCCGGTCCTTGTCCTCTAGTGAGCTGTACTTCTGGGAGAGATTTACCATAGTTCATATTCACAGTGAATAAAAGATACTTTTGAATATAATCCATCTTTACTGATTCCTAAGAATGACTACTTAGTGCAACTTTAACGCAAGTTTTCTCTCTCTTCAAGAAATGTTTATTCCAAAGTCATACTCCGACACAAGAAGTAGTGTTGTGCATGGTCTGATTCTATGTTTTGCGCTAGTTGTCGACTAAGTAATAGCGTGACGCATACACACCACATATTGTAACACGAGTTCTTACTTTTATAATGTCTAGCTGTGCCCCTTCTCAACAAAAACACCCGCATGACCTTGAAGGCGTCGTAGTCACTTAATATGTTCTCGAAAAATATTTCAACACCTAGCTTTTTGCATATATCTTAACGTCCGTCATCAGATTTAAGGTGCTTTGCCTACACATTAACCATATCGGTCTTAAGTGGTCTTAAGTGCTATGGGTGTAGTACTTGCCTATATTGAGTTCACTTAAGTATTGATTTCATTAATTTTGACTCATTAAAAACAGCAGCATGATACTAAATGGATATTAGAATTAGTTGATTGGAGTTATGTACATACCTTACCAATGAAGTCTCATAATTTCCAGTCATATATTGCCACATAACTGATAGACCAAACCGAGTCAGTGGTACTGAAGATTTATTATGTGTGATATGTCATCCGTGGAACACGAACACTTCGAAAAATTCGACGAAAATGTTTTTAATTCCTTTTCCATGCTGTATCGCACCTATGTTGCTTTTCATATGCACTGATTTCGTGATAACTGGGTCGAGGCGATAATCACCGGGTGGTAAACTTGTCCCTCCTGTCTGTCTGTCTGTTTTCGACATAGAACTTTGCATAAATGTGCGGCAGTTCAAGCCGCCACACTCCCTCCACGTAGCACACAAACCAAGAAATGCATAATAGAGACAGTAAACAGAGGTGTGAGACAAAGGGAAAGTAATAAAATAGAACAAAACAGTTTCATTGGAAATCATAAGTCACAAGGAGTGGATGCATCTGCGCCACTGAGAACGATTTTGAGCCATGTCACCAATTGTTTCCAACCATAGATTTTTACCGTCCCGAGGACCCCAGCCTGGAAGTCTGCACCTTCCTACGTGGCTTAGACCAACTGTTGTGGATTTCATTGACTGATGCCAAGTTTTTGTTTGACCGCCGCTAGCTTTTTTCCAGCCTGACCTTATATCCGCTAACATTGCTCGTCGAAGGAGGCGATGGTTTGGCATACGTAACACATGTCCTAACCATCTCAGTCTTAGAACATGTGTTACGTATGCCAAGTCATCGCCTCCCTCGACGAGCAATGTTAGCGGATATAAGGTCAGGCTGAAAATAGCTAGCGGCGGTCAAACAAACAGAGTTTCCCCATTTCTGATAGGGGAGTCATTTTAAAAATTGAATCCGATTCCGTACGCAATAGATGCACGGCTTCAATAGTTAATGCAACAGGGAAAGTGAGCATAGGCGTTATTTTGGGATCTGTCATTGCATGGGAATTTTGTTTGTCACACCTCAAATATGCAAGTTTAGTCATATACAGGAACTAGAAGGAGGATAATGGTTGTCTGATTAAGACATACCAGTCTATAAATTCTGACTTCACTTGTGGCATGGAGAGGTATTAACCGTCATTTCGCCTTCAGCTAGATATGCTGGTCCAGTAGCAGCTCATTTCTCTTACTTTTCAGTCCCCCTTGTGGGTGTCCTGATGCTAGTGCGAAGTGTAGGTATTTGAAAAAAGGTTACAAAAGGTCTGTGACAAAAGCACTGAGTTTGTAATATCACATTGTCCACATAGATTGAAGGCATATTTCATCTATGATGGATAGTTTTGGATTACTTTTCAGTTTAAAAAAATGAAGCAAATTAGTTTCATGGTCTACGATGCCTAGCACCTTCCCGAACCCATTTAAGTAGGGTCAACACTTGTCTTGAGACGCATTTGTTGAAATCTAAGTATTTAAACCAATTAACCACACGTCTTGACTCAGTAGTCGTTGAGTTTCCAAAGTAATAAGCGTTTTTGAACAAGTTATGCATCTTGAAGCAATCCAAAACATTAATTGTGGGAAAAATTTTGTGCATCCTTGTTTTCATTGCAACTATCTTAATCGCTTATAATATTATTCAGCCACCCAATGTTACACCGGATATTGAAGAGATGCATGCCAGTCAGCCAGTCATTCCTGAACCATTGGTTTCCACAGACAGTCAAAAGTCTACAGACAAGGTTACTTCAGATGGATCTATTTCATCTACTAATTTGCAAGAACCAGTCAAATCTGTTCATGGAGATGTTAGGGGATCTATATTGACGGAACTACCATCATTGGATTCGGTAGCTGCCGAGAGCATTAATACACATGAAATTCCAACTTTCAATGAGTTTCATGCTATGGTTTCTGAAGGAGCTCAGTCTCGCAAAAGTCAAGGTTCGTCTCATGGTATTGCATTCTAGTTATATGGCTGCCTTAGCTTTCTGGTTTATTATCGACCAGTTATTTAAAATTTCTTCAGTATATTTTCAGTACCCAATGAATTTGATGTGATATTATTTCTATTTAGGATTGAAAAGGTTTCCTTTGTTCATTCGGTTTGAATGTAATACAGGTAGTGGAAATTTCAATATGCTCATTGAAAAAAACAACTGCAAACCAACTAGGCTGTCGTCACTAGCTATTGGGGTCAGCCGTCAGGGATACCCACTATCCCCATTTCTATTCAATTCCACCATAGATGTACTAATGGAATTAACTCTAGCTCACTTCAGAGACTCAGAGGTTGACTTGTTACCACCAGGAATAATCCTGTGGACTTAAAATATGTAGATGATATAGTCCTTCCTCCTAGGTGAACACGCTGACGAAATTCAGCAGAGTTTTCTGAACACCTTGAGGAGCAACAATCTTCGAATGTTTGGCATGCGGTTCGCTCCCACCAAATGTAAGATGATGTTACAGGACTGGACCACACTAGCTCCTAGTTTAGGAATAGGGAGTGAAGTGGTAGAGCACGTTGACCGCTTTACTTATTTGGAAAATACCATCAGCCCCAACGGAATGATCTCTGACGAAATCTTAGCACGGATACAGAGGGCTAGTTTCGCATATGCCAGTTTATGGCGTCTCTGGCGTAGACGTGATATCCGGCTGGCTGTCGATCAAAGGGCGTGTGTACCGCTCAGCGGCTCGCTTCGTCCTCCTTTATGGCAGTTGCAGAGATATGGCCATTAAGAGTAGAAGACATGAAAACAAACTATCCTTAGCTGTACAGTCGTATTTATATACAATTTTTCCACGCGAAAGGGTAATAAGAAAAAGTGGCGAGTTGTTATAATCATAGTTGTTAATCAGGATGCAGTTAAAATAGCCTTTTCGCTGAACTACTTGTTTTCTTTTCATTCATGTCTATATGCGGATTATTCATAGATCAAATTGTCGGCATTGTAGTGACAGTTTTCCTCAACAGACACTGATAAGGTCGCTTACACATCGTCCTTTCAAGAATGCTATCTTCGTTTTCACTAGAACTTTTCCTCTAACAGCTAAAAGGTGTAGGCAAGATCGGTTGCCTTGCTCTTAGGATCTCTATATATCTCCTAATTCCCTCCTGCTTAACTGAGGGAGGAAGTTCAGCTATGACCAATTAAGGGAAATATCCTAATGGCGTCATACAACAGTTCATTTCTCATCCTCAGGATCCATTTGCCGTAGGACAGATTTAATCAGAAGGCTATCACTGTCTCACGGCACGAGGAAGAGCACAACTAGTAGCAACTTCTGTACAACTTTTCTGTGGTATTCCACTCATTATTTCTTTCTTTAAAATTGTATAAGTTTGTAAACTCTAAAATAGCATATGAATATATATATATATATATATATATATATACATATATGTAAGGCATTTGAAAGACAAATTTTTCGAGATGACATCATTTCGTAGCTTCTTTATAACCGCTCTGCCAAGCATGACAATTACTCAGTTAAATAAAAAAAGTATATCCTGAAGACCAATCATATTTTAGTAGGTTATGTAGTCCATGGTAGGCGAAGATTAAAGTCTATTGTTTTTTGTACACACAGATTAGCCTGCATGTGATTAATCCCCCAAAGTGCTTCCATCACCTTCAATAACTAACCTTGAATTAGAGTTATGTGATGAAATAATTATGAAACAGTTATTAATCATATTCATCCAAATATCCGAGTGACTTCGGAACTTGAATCGAATAACAAACTCGGTTTCCTGGATATTACAATAGCCAGGAGAGATGATGGAACGATTCAGCGATCTATTTTTCGTAAACAGACATAGGGTGGACAATATCTTCATTTCACCAGTTTTGTTCCTATCCAGTATAAATGTTCCCTAGTGAAATGTTTGTTCTCAAGGGCTCGAAAAATATGCACGAGTGACACATTGATGGAGGAGTTTTGATATATACATTCAGTTTTATTAGCTAATGTTTATCCAGAAAACTTAAACATTTGTCACAGTAAAGAAAAACTACATCTCGAAAAGACATCTTCTGTACCAAAGAAAGCTATTTTTATTAACCTTCCATTCAAGGGTGACCAGACTATGCAGTTGACAGCTAGCTGAAAGACTTCGGTCAGCCATCAAACATACATTCTACGCCGCCACATCTCTTTTTCTCACCTGCCGAACATTTTCGATCCCTGTACCTACCTAGGATTAAAGGACGAAATTCTGTGAACTTTACTTCAAACTGTATCTACAAGTTCATCTGCAGCTGCGGTGACACCTATATAGGTAGAACCACAACAGAATGTTCCAATGTCGTCGTCGTAAAGAGCCTGTACCAAAATGGCTAATAAATCATATAGAAAATCCCAATGCGATTAATCTGAATCGAAATCCAGCAGCATCATCCATTGCAAAACACTTATTAATGTCAGGTCACAAAATCAATCAATATTAATGACTGTTTCACAATTATTTCACATAACTCTAATTCAAGATTATTGAAGGTGATGGAAGCACTTTGGGGGATTAATCACATACAGCGTAAACTGTGTGTACAAAGCACAATAGACTTCAACCTTCGTCTACCATAGACTATATGACCTATTTCAATATGACTGGTCATTAGAATGTACTTTTGTTTTTTATTTAACTGAGTAATTGTCATGATCTTTATTTTATTACGGTTAACCATGTGAGTTGTAAGGCGGTTGCAAAGAAACTACGAAATGATGATATCATCTCACGAAATTTGTCTTCTAAATGCCTTATTCAAATTTATATATATATATATATAATTACACTACCTTATATTCCTCTACATACATTTATTTAGGTACGGAAGTTGGTGAAGACAATGGGCCTAAATCCGAATATGTTCTAGACGCTGAGGAGAGCATCAAAAATGCATTGGATTCTCAAACATCAGACAAAGCATCCCAAGTACATGTCGATACTAATCCTTCAGTCAAAACAATCAAAGGTCATGGCATCAAAGAAGCACTACTAGGTGACGGCACAGTTGCAACAGACAGTAGCAATATACCGTCAAATAGTGTGAAGACTGATTCACACTTAGAACAACAATATCAATCGTTGAAGGGAAGTTCAGATTCGGTGCCGGACGATGAGACAAATTCGAAGGTGAATTCTCCTGTTACTCCTGAACCAATAGTCACCAGAACAACAGTTCATACGCCGAACAAAGGTGATGTAACCTTGAGGAGAAACGTTGCTTCTGTAGCTTGTGGCGCAAAAATGTTAGGTTCTAGTAAAGCTATTAAAAATCCAGAAGCTGTACTTAATGAGAATAATGATGAATACATGAATGTTCCGTGTAGTGAAGAGAAATGGTGAGTTAAACTGCTCTATGATTGAATAATATTTATTGTTGTTGTTTCTCAGTGTATCTTTCATTTTTGACTGCATTTAGTTGTTACTTTATATCTGTGAGATACAGGGTTCACTACTAGATATTTAAATATGGTTAACTCTAAAGCAAGTAAAAAGCAACAGGTTGGCATAAGAAGCATCAAAGATAGGACTTTGGGTGAACATATCGAAAGCAGAGGCAGGTGATGAAGATTCCTGGGCAACAGCGACAACAACAGACAACAATCAGCCAGCATAAATGGGAGGAACCTGAAAGAAACAACCTTCTTTACCTACCTACCTATCTGGGAAGCATCGTTTCAACTACAGGCGGACGGAACTGATGAGGATATCAAAGCGAGGATCGGGAAAGCAAGACAAGCTTTTACTTACCCTGAATTCTGTGTGGAGGGCAACAACACTCACCACGAAAAAATAAGATCCGGATTTTCAACTCCAATGTGAATTCAGTGCTACTCACTATACGGTTCAGAGACTTGGAGCGTCATGAATAGCACTTCGAACAAACTACACACCTTCATCAACAGCTGTCTTAGCTCAAACATTGGCTCAAGGTCAGATGGCCGCCAGAAAAGATTAGCAACAGGGATATCTGTCAATGAGCGAAACAACACAGTAGGAAGCGATTGTGCGACAGATATGTAGGAAGAAATGGAGGTGAAAACCGTCAAGTGACATCACTAGACAAGCCATCGAGTGGAACCCGTAAGGGAAGCGGCGAGTTGGTCGTCAGTGCGAGAGTGATTTGGAGGAGGTCATGTGAAGAGGAGATGAAAGCATTTGGGCAGACGTGGAGCCAGGTGAAAATCCTGTCAGAGAGCCGCAGGCAATGCAGACGTTGAGCTGAAGCCCTATGTTCCTCTAGGAATTAAAGGAAATAATAGTAATAATAATACTAACTCTGAAGCATCGTCCTCTGAAAGGCACTTTACTCTGAAGTTATTTTACAGCATTCTGTGTAGACCTGCTGTTAAGCACTGACGCCTGTCTATTATATTTGCAGAATACGTATATACAAATTCATTTAACCTTACCAAGATAGGCATTTTACATTCCTAATATTCTGGTAGCCAGTAATCAACCTTCTTTTAGTCTTTCAGTTGTAGGCATAGTATTTAGTCTTGAGTCATAAACACATACACAGTTCGGGTTACCTTATTTAATCTTGGGTTTATTCGTATGTACACTGTTCGATTAATTGATACTTATAAAATTAAAAAGGGTGGCTAACAAGTGTCGGTAACTTTTTGTTGTTTGTGCCTCGAACTCGAACTGCTGCACATCTGTGCAAGGTTGAATGTTAAAGCCAGTTAATCAAAAGGTATTACTTACATGCATCTAAGTAAATCGATGTCTCTCTGTCTGTCTGGATTCAACATAGAACTTGGCACCGAAGTGCACCAGTTCGAGTGCCACGTTCCAAATAGCACACAGAGGTAGACAAGAAGATGAGTGAAGAGAATCAATAGAGTTTGACAGGTATAAGAGTGAAACATAATGGGTAATGGTAGAAAGAAATATGAAAGATTGACAACGATTTTGTGTCATGTTACCTATTGTCTCCAGCCATTTATTCCTAGAGTCCCGAGGGCCCCAACCCAGAAGTCTGCATCTCCCTACCTGATTCAGTTTAACTGTCAAGGATTCCATGGATTGATGAGGCCATGTTTTTGTTTGGCCACCACTTACTCTTTTCCAACCTGCACCTATATCAGCTAGTAATGCCCTTCGGGGGAGGCGATGGTTAGGAATCGGCAGCACGTGACCCAGCCATCTCAATCTATGTAACTTTATAGCCTCGTCGATTGATTTTCCCTATTTGCCCAACACTCTACGCCTAACGTCAACATTACTTACCTTATTAAACCACCTGGCGTGAGACAGAGATCGCAGACATCTATGATCGAAAGCAGTCAACCTTTTCATGTCTTCAACTCGTATTGGCTATGTTTCAGAGCCATAGAGAAGGACGGAGCGAAGTGCTGAGCAGTACACACGTCCCTTGGTTGATGTCCGGATGTCACGCCTACACCAGAGATGGTGTAAGTCAGCGAAAGCAGCTCGAGCTTTTTGGATCCGTGATGAGATTTCATCGCCTATCAGTCAGTTGGTGCTAATACAATTTCCCAAATAGGTGAAGTGGTCAACATGTTCTAAATCGATAAATATTTAGAGATTCAGATTCTGTAGGTTTTAGTGAATCAAATTTCTCCTTTTATTAACAATATTCATACTGCAGAGCTTTGCTAGATTAAAGGTTACTATTTTCTCCTTTCTTATATAATCTGATGAAACCTACCATGGATTTGCTTTTACTGCGAAAATGGATATTATTTTAGCAATAATAATCATATCTATTTATGACAGCTACAACTGATCCTTCGTTAAGTTTCAGAATAATAATAACATTTATTATTTCAGATCTCTAACTTCATTGTCTCAGGGCGATGAGTTGTTGCGAAGTCGTAATGCCCTTTATTGTTTTGGACCTGAGCTGCTGAATTGGCCGACAATATCAACTGATTTAGCCTTCAGGCATCTTTGTTTGTCTGAAGGAAGAGTTAGGAACTAGGCGACTGAATAGATCATGGAGATTTTCAAACTGAACATCGATGGTTAAGTGTGAAATACTTTTTGATGAGTTAGAAGTTGTCGGATCCAAGAAAGAGTGTTTCTTTCTCTTGTATTGAAAGTTCTATAGAGGATAAATTCTGACTGACTGGTTTCAACATAGAACTTTGCGCAAATATGCTCCATTTCGAGTCGCCATACTCCCTCATCGTAGGACAAAAAACAGGAGAAGAGAGGGAAGCGAGATTGACCAAGTGAGAGATAATAAACAGAAGTGAATGAGGGAAAAGTTAGTGATATGATAGACGAACAATGGAGTTTTAGTGGATATGATAATTGACAAATAGGGAATACATCTGCGCTTCATTGAGAACGAAAATTGTGAGCCATATCTCCGACTGTCTCCAACCTTCATTGCTTCTTATCATTCCGAGGACACCAAGCAGTAAGGCAGTCTACACATCCCTTCATAGTTGGCTTAAATTAACTGTTATGGATTTGACTGACTAATGAAATCATGTTTTGGTTTGACCAAACTAGTTTTTTTCCCAACACGACCCATCCTGCGTCAGCTAACATCACCCGTCGTCGAGTAAGGCGATGGTTAGGCATTGATGTGTAGAACATGTCCTAACCATCTCACTCAATCGATGTAACTGCTTTAGAACCTCTTCGATTGATTTCCCCACCTTACCTAGCACTCTGTCAAACCCTTTCGTCACCATCACTTACCTTATTATGCCACCTAGCACATAGGAATAGAACGCAAGCATTTAATATCAAATACAGCTAGCGAGGCTTTACACGCGATCCACTTTCAATGACCATGTCTCACTTACTGATATAAAGGAGGACGAAGCAGTGTTGGTGAGCAATATGCCCACACATCCTTTGATCGATAACCAGCCGAACATCACATCTACTGAGCTAGAGGTGGTGTAAGTTGGCAAATGCCAAACTCGTCTTCTGTATCCATGCTAAGATTTCTTCAACAGTCAATCCGCTGGGCTGGCTGATGTGACTTCCCAAATTAGTGAAGTGGTCAACACGCTCAGTCACCACTTCACTCCCTATTTCTAAGCTAGGAGTCAATGCAGTCCAGTCCTGTAGCCTCATCATCTTACATTTGGCGGCAGCGAATGGCATGCCAAACATTCGAAGATCGCTGCTCCTCAATGTGTTCAGAAAACTCTGCTGTATTTTGTTAGCATCTTCGCCTAGGAGGAAAGACTATATCATCCACATATTCTAAGTCAACGAGACTATTATTCCCTGGTGATAACAAGTCAATCCCCGAGCCACTGAAGTGAGTTAGGGTTAAGTCCACTAGTACATCTATGATGAAATTAAACACAAACGGAGACAGTGATGATGGGCATCCGTAACGAACAGCGCTGGTTGTCACCAATTCAGGTGACAACTCTCCGTAGGCTCTCACCTGACTGACGCTATGAGTTCGGATACAGTGAGTGTCTTGATCAGTGCAATGTATTTTCTCGGCGACGAAAGCGAATTCCGCTTTCAGGTCAAGAAGTGTGATAATTGTTGGACGCCAGTTAGTAATATGCCTATGTTCCAGAATCTGTTGAAGGGTGAAGATATGATGCTTTGTTAGTTATGACAAATCTTCACTAGACATTCAAACAGATGTCACCTTATTAGTTGCTTTTTTTTAGATTATTTGAACTCCGTAACTTTACTATTCTGATTGAGAAGTCGATCTTTCGTCGTACTTTTTAAGATGAGGAGAATAAATTCACGAAATACTAGAATAAGTGTAACTGATGGTCATTAAATATTCTATTGGAATACCTTTTCGCCTAGTTTTGCTTATTTATTAACGTGACTATAACCCAAAGAGTATCAATATTTATTTTTCTTGTTGTGATTACATATCCCTTGGTCAGTCTATCTGTCTATCTCATTCTGCATAAATCCTTCAATATAATTGTTGAACTTATTTTCGAAATATTTTGTATAAAGTTCGTATCTAATAAAAAGAAATTTTCATTTACATTTTTACAGGTTAATCTTGGAAGTTTGTCAGCCTGTTCAACTTAGAACAATAGAATTGGCAAATTTTGAATTATTTTCATCTCGATTGAAGTCGTTCAGAGTTTATGCTAGTGATCGGTAAGCTAATTTCTGAATCAACATCTCCAATATTTGTTACTATACTGTTTCTTTAAGAATACTCATCTGTTTAGATAAAGCAATAAGAAGATGTGTGCGTCGGTAGCATAGCGGTCAGGACTCTCGCCGACCATGCACATGGTCCAGGGTTCGATCCCCGGCCACTGGCTTGAAGCCCTATATTCCACTGAGAACGTGAAGGAAAAAAAATAATAAGATGTAATTTGTCTGAATCGTCTAATGTTGTATTTGCGCGCATAACACATTTCCAACAATCTGATCACACACACACCGACTTGCCATAGGAATATATATGAAATTAAAAGAAATAAGAGGTGAGAAAATAGACTTAGGTTAAGTTAAAAGGACTATATTGAAGGTCAAAACAACAATGAAGACCACTAAACCAAATAGCAGGGGTAATAGTACATCTGCTACGGTATCAAAACAAAACAAAATTTACCAAAGAAGGTTTAATGTGATGACGAATTGTTACCTTGATCGCATAAAGGTGGTTTAAGCTCCCTGATTGCCAACTAAGGCCTCCACAAAAATTTCAAGATACGCCCCAAACACGTTTTATAGATAGGTTTAAAAGTTGTGTTAACGTCAATTTTATGTCCTGTCTCTATCATATGTTTTGCAATATAGCTAGGCGCTAGATCTCCTGTTCTCACCATTAATGGGTTCTGAAGATTCCATTTGTTTCTGGAGCCATATAGGAATATGCTCTGAAGCCAGCCGGTCCTTACTTTCAGAGTTCGATGAGTCCTCCCTTCTGTGTATGTGTGTCTGTACGTACATTCAAATTGGTAAACACAGTGAGATGTGACGTCATTTTTCGCATGTTCAAAGGGCTTAGATGGATGGATATATTGGCTTTCTATTCTCAATTATTATGATCTTAGCTGCATAAAAAGTCCTTTCAACACCAGCATTTAATCTTTGTCTAGTTATCAAGCTGCTATGATACCCTATATACGGTAGCTTTATGTACACGTCTTCCTTAGGAGCGAGTTGGAGAGTGGGTCTTGGTTTTCTGACTACTTTATATTTCCTGATGAACTTGTCTGGATAATTGTTATCAACCAGAGTTTGTGTCAACTTTCTTTCTTCTTCATCAAGTGTGTCTTCAGTGTATATTCGTTGATTTCTACTGGAGAGGCACCTTACTAAGGCTGTTTTGTACCGAACAGGGCAGAAACTGTGGTAATTAAGATACTATCCTGTCCAGGTAGGTTTCCTATAAATAGATCTTTTTATCGACCCATCAAACCGTCGACTAAGCAGTATGTTTAGGAAAGATAAACAGTTATTTTCCTCTTCTACAGATGTAAGTAATATGCTATTCTGAACTTCATCCATTCGATTTAAAATTGATTTTTAATTAGTTATTATAACTGACCACAAATTGATATGGATTGAACGATTATTAAACTTAAAGGGTTTATTAGTACTAGTTGAGTAGTAGTATGCAGTTATGAACTTGTGGTTGGAGTTTGACAGTCGACTATACTGATCCTTATCAAATCATTCACTCCTTTGTTCGTTTTTTTCTAAACTGGGTTTTGACTACTACACTAGACGACGGGTTTTGATAATCAATAATTTTCATCCTGCTGTCGTTCATGTTATAGCACATAAACCGCCTCTATACAGTGTGATGTCATGTTTGCAATGTATTTTAGTATACTTTTCAACGATTATGTGATGTGCAATTAGTAGTGTTCTCTGAGCTCATTGGTTTAGTTGCGGAGCTTTCGTCGTCCTTCTGGACAACATCTTCAACGCAGTCTTTAGCATAAAGTGAACTGACTTAAATTTTCCACCAGTGATAGAATTGCGCCTCCCAGTAACCATCTTTACATAAGTATTGATCGTTTTCTATTGACTTGGATTTTAAACTTTCTCGTCCTATGTGATTTACTATTTATTATTTGGTAGATTTAGTCTATTTTGACATATTTGTTAATTGCATATTCGTTTGAGTATCAGGCTTCTAGGAATTCCGTGGCATTTCTGATGTTTCCTCTGTCTGAAATTTCGACATTATCCCGATCAAACTGATGTCCATAATTATCTATATGCATTGATATGAAAGAATACATGTCATGTCTTTTCACAGCTGATTTATGTTCTTGGATTCTGATTCGAAAAGGACGCCCACTTTGACTGATGTAATGTCTGTTACAGTTCATACAGTCTATTTGTTTATTCCTTCACGCTCCCAGTGGAACATAGGGCTTCAAGCTAGAAGCTCGAAGTTTCTGTAGCAGTGTTTATTTTTACAGGATGGTGTTGCTAGCCTCATACCCAACCTTTTCCTGTTTGCCAGCTTTTATTTCTGGCTTAGCGAGGTAAAGGAGTGCGTCTGTGGCCGGGGATCGAACCCCGGACCATGAGCATGGTCGGCGCGCGTCTTAACCGCTATCCCATCGACGCATAGTTTATTTTGTAAATAGTATTAATTTTATCTTCTCCGGTTTCTGTTGGATCTTTCGGTTTGCACAATATCTAATGAAGTGGGATTGTGCTGGCTGACTAGCTTGTATGCTATATCTATTTCAAACGGTTTCAGTATTCTAGCTGTTGTTTCAGAGATATTTTTTTTTACATATATGGTGATGTTTTACTGCTGAATTCTGATTGCTTGTTCAAGATCACAGTAGTCTTGAGTACGATAGTTTCACTTTACCCTTCTTTCTAAGCTTAATTGATAAATGAAGGAGCTATTGTGTCGTGCTTATATGAGCTGATAGGCATAGTAAACAATCTTCTCTGGGCGTTGACTGTTCCTTTGCAAGATTTGTTTATGTCTTATGCATCAATTTATAAGGCGTGTGTTGTATATTTTTCGGATGTTAAGCTGTTAAGTAATGTGGACTGGTTCACAGTATATTACTGACTGACTCATTATTAAATCATAATTTGTAGAGATAATTAAATACTGTCTTTTTTAATTCATTTGATAACCAGTCTAGCATAAACCAAGGTGTATAATTGGTTGGATGTTGACTAGCAGTGGAATCCAGACACAATTAACATTTCGTACCATTTGGGACTCGTCCGCCAGCTGGATGTACCTGCATTTCCCACTGAGTGATCATATTGCAACCGAGACTCGAAGCCAGCTCCCATAGTTCCAAACGCCAAAGCGTTATCCGTTAGACCACTTGGGCCACGGGAGCTGGGCACCTCTTGTGCAACGGGTCATATTAATTTTAATTGAATTTTAGACAAGAAGCCGACATGTCAACCTGAGACCGAGCACTTCAGTCCAATCAATCGACGGGAAAATCAAAAATTCATTTCAATAATTAATATGACCCGTTGAACAAGAGGCGGAATAGCTCAAGTGCTCTAGTGGATAACGCTTTGACGTTTGAAACTGTGGGCACTGGGTTCGAGCCTCGGTGGGAACATCATCACTCACTGAAAAATGCAGGTACATCCAGCTGACGAGTCCCAAATAGGACGAAATGCGCATCCTGGATTCCACTGCTAGTTACCATCTACCAGTTAACTTCTAATTACATGCCGAGACACCGTCTAAGCATCTGCACAAGTAGCCGACAGGCATGTCAACCTGAGGCTGAGCACTTCGGTCCAATCAATCGACGGGAAAATCTTAAATTCAATTAAAAATAAACCAAGATGTATTGAAAATCTAAATCCTTAGTGGTGACTCGCAAAGCATTTATTCATGATGCTATGAGAGGTCGAACACAAGGAGGTGAGAAGGGGGTCAAGTTACTTCAACCAAATCTGCTAAAGACGCTTGCGTACTCCTGACATCAGACAATGGTTGTATTGTTTCTGAAGCTGTGGTGAATTGCAGTTGGAGCACTAGATTTCAGTCTGCTTAGATTAGTGGTCATTTGTTTGCCTCTACTTTAGAGGTGCCTCATAGTTTTGGCTCTGATCCCTCTTACAGTCATGGATAAGGATATCTGAAGTGCCTTCACTTGGGATACTTCCGCATAAATCTGTTAAGTGGGATGTTGAGTGCTATTTCTGGCCCAGCGGTTAAGACGCTCACCGACCATGCACATGGTCCGGAGTTCGATCCCTGACCGACGCACACCCGATATCAATGATCGGCTTGCTAAATTTCGGCTACTAATATTCAGATGCTGAAAATTGCATACTTGTATCAAAAATATTGTGCGAAGTCAAGCTATAATAAAATAAATAAAAAAAATAGTGTAGTACATATAAAGTTTTGCATTCAGTAAGAATTTGAAGATTTTCCTAACTTGGTGGTGTACGTGTGTGTATGTGTGTGTGTGTGTGCGTGCGATTTCTTCCTGATAGTTAAGCTGTCATTTTCAAGTTGAAGATTTCTAGGTACAATCACCTGCATTCTACATTTTTAGGAAGCTTTTTATTTTTCATAAAATAGAAAAAAAAGATTTTATTAACTGAATAATTTAATAAAAGAGAACTTGAAAACTTTCCTGACACACACCCACACACATACTGTTGTTTACAGATATCCAGCAAAGTCATGGGAGTTGATTGGTACATTCACTGCTCGAGATGTTAAAGGTATACAGTCTTTTAGTGTGACAAGTGGAAAAATGATCAAATATATCAAGGTGAGTTGATATATTGTTTTATTTCTTTGCCTTCTGTGTGGAGTGTAGGGCTTCAGGCTTCAGCTTTGAGATTTTAGTAGAAATGGTTTTTTCTTTATACGGTGGAGTTGTTGGCGTCATGCCCACCCAACCTTCCCGATCCTTTTCAGGCTTACAACGGGCTAGGGTGGTGTAGATGTAAGCCAGCTGAGGAATCGAACCTCTTGACCACAATAATGAATGGTCGGCGAGCATCCTACTGCTCAGCTACCACCGGTGCCCGATATGTTGATGTAATCGTTTATAAATGTATACAGTAGATTACCCAATGGGCATAATTATGCTTTCATTGTATGTTAAAGTTAATGATTTTATACACGTTCAAACCAAGTTCACTTTTAACAGTTTGAAAAAAAATGTGGGCATTAGGTAGGGGATGTATGGTATTCATTATTATGAAGGCTTTTTGTATTTACCAATGAATGTAAAACAAAACGATATTGCCGTTGTTTTTATTGACGTTTCGCTATTTAATGCTGCTGCTAATAGCTTTATCAACGTAGTATTATTAAACTAGAATTTACAAAATCCACTCAGCTTATATGCAACAACTTAATCATCCATCGTTCCTCAGCATGGGGTCATTTTTTTATTGTCGAATTGGCCAATTGGTAAAGATAACAAAACCAGGTGTAGATGACTGTTGGATTTGATAAGCGTGTATTTACATGACGAAATTGCTGATCACATTCGTGTTGATTTTGTCATTTCATGGAGGTGGCATGGGGAGGGAGGTGTTGTAACCAGGTCAAATTCTGTTTCAGTTCATCATTCCTATTCAGATAATTTGGACTCCATTTGATGATATGAAGTGCTTCTGATGATATAATGTTCTTTGTGTTATCTGAAATTTTTCTGGATGATGATTTCACTATTGTCAAAATCAATTTTGTGGCCTGATTCTATAGTTAATTTTATTAATCTCCTCGAGCCAAAATGAAAGTGTTGAAATATATATATATATATATATATATATCTTTCATAATGATCATGGAGGTAGTCACCGATATTTGAGGACTACTCAGAATGGATTTTTCCATTTATCAGGACACACTTATTTCATGAGAGCTGATGTTGTTTACTCATATACCCAAACTAAAGTAAGCGGAAAGAGTTTTAAACCTCATTCCCATTAACTGAAAGTCAAAAGGGATGTGAAATAGAAATCTGTGTTTACGATAGTCCTGGAATCAACAGTCTCTGGATAACTAGTACTGTTTGATTGAGTGTCATTGTAGCTCATAATACTCTATCCCCTCCAATGATCATCGATTACATCAGTCTGTCAATCCAAGATTATCCCACATAGTCTTACGGCCGCCAAGGTCAAGGTTGTCAGCAGGGTAAGCAACGTGCCACTTAACTAGCTTGTTAATACTCTGGTTGACAGGCACTTGGACTCAGACGAAAAATGGGCTAAATCCATTCTATCTATCTAACTCACATCACCTTCTTCATTCACAACTCTCCCCTTGTTGTATCTCTTTAGGGAAAACCAGAAGCCCATTTAGAAAACTATATGCTCGCACTAGCAAGTACAAAAACTCAACCATACCCTACTTAGCTCGTGTTCTGTGCGATAAACAAAGCATTAGGCGTGATAGCTATAACTTATTAAATAGTCAGTAGAACAATTGGATCTCGTCTTTCCAACTCATATCACTCATAGGTACAACGTTTTCTTTGTTTTCCTTTTCTCTCTCTTTTTCTGTTATGTACTGCTTTGTTTCTTTCTTCTGCTTACGCCAGTAAATATACTAGCAACTACTTTTCTAATACCTTCAAACACTGTTCAATTTTGGCTTTGCTACCAACATGCCAATATGTTGTTGTCAAAACTAACTGAGATTTCCTTAATCTATGTAGAACTTTATATGTTGATAATGTACTAAGTGGATGCAATACTGTAGTCAAATGCTGAAAATACCATTCTATATCGCTAGTACTGTTTTGGAATAAAGCAAATTATTATTATTATTATTATATGAATTAGTTGTGTTCTCTGAGCTGGTTGATTTATTTGTGAAGCGTTCGTGGTCTCCCATCTAGACGACATCTTCAGCGCAGGTTTTTATTATGAGAAATGAACTCATTTGAATTCTCCATGAATAGTGATATAATTATATCTCCTAACAACCACCGCCATGATTGGTTATTAATTACTGCTCTATTAGTTAGTTTTATTAAATTCTGATTTGAACTCTCTTATTATGTGGTTTTGCTTTTTATTAGCTGGTGAATTTCATCTATAGTAACATGTTTATTAATTATTGATTTACTTCAGTGCCAGACTTATAGAAAATCCGTGGCATTTTTTGTGTTTCCTCTATTTAAAATTTTTGCATTATCGTAGTGAAATTGATTTCCGTAATTATCTACATATATTGATATGAAAGAGGAATATATATATCATGTGCTTTTACAGCTAATTTGTGTTTTTGGTTTGGAATTCGAAGTGGATTCCCCTTTTTTTTTTAACCGGTGTAATGTTTATTGTATTTCATACAATTTGTTGAAATAAAGGGAAAACCAAAAAAAAGTTCCAGGGAATTTCTAGAAGCCTGTCGTATATATAAGTGAATCAGTAATTAACAAACTCATTACTCTTATAGACCAAATTTATCAGCTAATAAAAAGTAAATCACATGACAATAAAAAGTTTAAACTCCCAAGTTCAAAAAACAAAAATGACCAATAGAGAAGTAAATTAACAAGCATTCATAAAAAATGGTTGTCAGGAGTTACAATTATATTAGCAATTGTGGAGAATTTAAATGAATTCATTTCATAATAAAAACCTGAGTTGAAGCGATGTTGTCTGGGTGGGTGGGGGACGGGGACGAAAGCTTCACAATTAAATCAACTGGCTTAGAGAACACAACTAAGTCAAAATCATCTATCTGAGCTAGAAATCTTCACCATATATTATTATTATTATTATTGTTCCCTTGGGTTCCTAGTGGAACATAGGGTTTCAACTGCACGTCTCCACTTCCCTCTGCTGTACTTTTCACCTGCATCCATGTTAGTCCATACTGTTTCAACTCCTGTTCACACGATCTCCTCCATGTTACCCTCACACTAACGTCCCACTCGCCACTCCCCTTTCGGCCTGGTTCCACTCGAGCAATGGCCTGACGCGCGCGCCATGTCACCCAGCGGCCTCCTCAGCGAGTGTCCAATCCATCTCTTCCATTTATCCTGCATATTTGTTGGTTGACGATTGCTTCTTGTTTTGTTTTGTTTGTTCCCATAGTTTCTTGTTGGTGGTTCTTTCCGGCCCAGCCATCTGATCTACATTCAGTATAGAGTGAAGACAGTTAGTTGTTGATAAAAATCTGCAACTGGCTGTTGGAAATATTCTTTGTGACACGCCCGCCCGCCAAGTTTCTGATCCTACCTGTATAGAAGAAGTTACTTGACGATTTTATTGAAAACCCGGCCGAATTTTGTTGTTGATTATGGCTGAGTGACGAAGATTTCCAGATTGGTTTCAGGTGGTTGATGAATATGTTTCTCGCCTTCTCGATTCTCGCTCGATTAGACATCCTCATCCGTTCCTCGTGTAGTTGAGACAATGCTCCCTAGATAAGTGAATGAAGTAACCTGTTTCAAATCCCTCTCGTTGATGGTGACTGGCACTGGATGTTGCTGTTGTTGTTGTTGTTGTTAGTTGGTTGGTTATTTTCATAACCTCCGTCTTGTCTATGTTCACCTGGAGTCCTGTCTTCGCCGGCTGGTTCTTCTACCAGTTTGTCGGTTTTCGCTTGTAAGTCTTCGATTTTGTGTGATATCAAGCATAAATGATCCACGCGCGAAATCCAGGTCTTCTAGGTTCTTCACGTCGGTCGGTCCAGGATATCCCTGTCTTCTCGTTTCCCACTCACTGTCTGACGCATAATCCAGTCAGTCCACCACAATTAGGAATATCATTGGTGATGGATAATAATAAGCACCCTTGTCTGACTCCTGTGTTAAGTCGAAACGCCTCGCTGAGTTTTCTGTTGTGGTTTACTTGACCTGTGTCGTTGTCGTACAGCTGTTGAACATATATATATATATATATATATAGTCTAAGTAGGTGAGTTTCAAACTCATATAATTGAGCTGTCGGCTACAGGTGTGTTGTCTTACACCTGGTGATAATACTTCTGACATAATTTTCAAATGTGTGTAATCCATTGGTTAAAACACGCATACATTCAAAGGATTAACATTACGGTTCAAGTTTAATCCTAAGACAGAAGGTTTGTTAATGATTGTTTTATTGTATTTCTAATTTGTGCACTGTTTGTGTCTACTCTTGCATAGAATATACTTAGAGTATATTTTTCACGTGATACCAATGATGTAGCACGTGTTCCTGTATGCCTAATGACTAATGAATGAAGCGTATTCAATAGGTGTGTAGTATATGTGAAGTCTTTTTGTTTTATTCAGGTTTAAAATTCCTATTTTTCTAATAAGCTCAATAATAATTGTATTCTATCATTTCTGAATGTAGAAAAACAAAAGAGCTGCATAGATAGATAAATAAACGCTATTTTATGTGTTAATGTGATTTCTTCTGAACACTTTCACATGCCATTCTGTTTTGAATGACTGACTGACTGACTGACTGACTAGCTTCAACGTAACACTTTGCTGGTTGCTGTTGTTGTTGTTGTTGGTGGTGGCGGTTGGTTATTTTCATCACCTCTGTCTTCTCTGTATCCATCTGGAGTCCTGTCTACCCTGCTAGCCTTTTCAGCCAATTTGTTGGTTTTCGCCTGCAAGTCTTTGAGGTTGTGTGATATGAAAAGTATATCATACACGCGTGAAATCTAGATCTTCTAGAGTCTTCTTATCGGTAGTCCAGTGTATTCCTGACTCATCGTCCCCAACAGTCTGACGTATAATCCAATCCACCACAATTAAGAATATCATCGCTGATAATAGGCAGCCGTGTTATACTCATGTGTATGCACTTCGAATGCCTCGCTGAGTTTTCCGTTGTGAATCACCTGACACATGGTATTGTCATAGAGCCAGCTGTTGAATGAGATTGATGAAGACTTGGATTACTCCACGTTACAGTGTTGAAGTAGTTTCCAAATTACTTCCCGGTCAACTCTGTCTATCGAAGGCCTTTTCTAGATTGATGAAGATGAGGTAGAGGTTTGACTGCCATTCTATACTTTGTTCGATGATGATGATGATGCGTATAGCTGCAATTTGGTCACCACATGATTTGCCTTTCCTGAATCTAGCTCGTTCTGGTTTAGTGGGACGGAGTTCTGTATCCAGTACATCCATTATTCTCTCCAGGATGACGCGACTTAGTGTTTTACTTGGCGTGGACAGGAGCATTATTCCACACCAGTTCTTGCACAGGCCTAAGTTACCCTTCTTTTTCAGTTTGACGAGGTAGCCCTTCTTCCAATCAGTAGGCACTTTTCCTCCTTTCCAGACTGTTTGCAGTAATGAAGTGAAAACATATACCGTAATCTCTGGGCCATCTTCAGTGCTTCGGAAGGAATTCCATCTGGTCCTTCTACCTTCCCGGATTTCCTTCAGTAGCTTGATGGCATTCAGAATTTCTTTCGTTGGTGATGGTGTATTTCTGGGTGAGTTGCCGGTGGTCAAGAGACTTTTAAAGTGATCAGCCCATTGTTTTATTTGTTGCTCCATCTTGGTGATCAGGTTCGCTTGAGCATCTTTTATTGGTTTCATCATCTGTGTTGATGTCTTCCCGGATAGAGATTTGGTTATTTGATGTAGTGTCCTGATGTCTCTTTTGCCTGCGGCCTGTTCTGCTTCAGTTGCCAGCCAGTGTGTCTTAGAATTGTCGTTTGTCTTTCCTAGTACTCTTCTTCACTTTATTCAGTGCAGCGTACATTTAACTTAGCTTCTCCTTCTATTATCCATCTTTGCATTGAGTCATCTCTTTCACCATCCTCCTCTCCTTGATTAGCTTCCAGGTATCCGTTGACAGCCATTCCATATTTTGTCTATTCTTTATTCCTAGAACATTGTACTGTCTGTCTGTCTGTTTTCGACATAGAACTTTGCACAAATGTGCGGAAGTTCAAGTCGCCACATTCCGTGTAGCACGCGAAGCAAGAGAAGAAAGTACAAGAAAAGCATAATAGAAACAGTGAGCAGAGGTGTGAGACAAAGGAGTAATAAAGAAATACAAAACAGTTCCATTGAAGATCATAAGTCACAGGGAGTGGATGCATCTGCGCCACTGAGAACGATTTTGAGCCATGTCACCAATTGTTTCCAACCATAGATTTTTACCGTCCCGAGGACCCCAGCCTGGAAGTCTACACCTTCCTACGTGGCTAAGACCAACTGTTGTGGATTTCATTGACTGATGCCAAGTTTTTGTTTGACCGCCGCTAGCTTTTTTCCAGCCTGACCCTATATCCGCTAACATTGCTCGTCGAGGGAGGCGATGGCTTGGCATACGTAACACATGTCCTAACCATCTCAGTCTTTGTAGCTTCACGACTTCGTCGATTGATTTCCCCTGTTTACCTAGAACTCTACGCCTAACCTCCATGTTGCTCACCTTATTATGCCACTTTACACGGGAAATAGAACGCAGGCACCTATGATCAAAGACAGCTAGTCTTTTCATGTCTTCCACTCTCAGTGGCCAGGTCTCACAACCATAAAGGAGGACGGAGCGGACTGATGAGCAGTACACCCGCCCTTTGGTCGATAGTCGAACATCTCGTCTACGCCAGAGTCGGCGTAAACTAACAAATGCGAAACGAGCCCCTTGTATTCGTGCTGAGATTTCGTCAGAGATCAGCCCGTTGGGGCTGATGGTACTTCCCAAATAAGTGAAGCGGTCAACGTGCTCTACCACTTCACTTCCTATTTTTAAACTAGGCGTCGATGTAGTCCAGTCCTGTAACATCATCTTGCATTTGGCGGGAGCGAATCGCATGCCAAACATTCGTAGATTGCGGCTCAAGGTGTTTAGAAGACTCTGCATTTCGTCAGCGTCTTCGCCTAGAAGGACTATATCGTCTGCATATTCCAAGTCAACGAGATTATTCCCCGGTAGCAAGTCAATCCCTGAATCGCTGAAGTCACCTAGGGTTAAGTCCATTAACACATCTATGATGAAGTTGAATAGAAAAGGAGATAATGGGCATCCTTGACGGACACCACTGGTCGTCATCAGTTCAGATGACAGCTCGCCGTAAGCCCTCACCTGGCTGTATGAGTACGAGTAGAGTGCCTTAATCAGTGCAATATATTTTCTTGGAATTCCCTTTAAAGCCAAGCATCTCCAGAGAACTTCCCGATCGACAGAGTCGAATGCTGCCTTTAGGTCAAGAAATATAATGACTGTTGGACGCCGGTAGGAATGCCTATGTTCTAGAATCTGTCGGAGGGTGAAGATATGATCAATACACCCTCTTCCTGGTCTAAGGCCTGCCTGGCTCTCTCGTGTTTGTGCTTCCCGAGCACCACTCAGTCTACGGATGATTATTGAGCCTAGGACTTCAGATACTATATTAGTCAAGCTAATCCCTCTGTGATTATCACAGGAAGACTTGTCTCCCTTCTTGTATATGGGGATAATCAGTGACTTACACCAACCCGATGGGACTTCTTCTGATTCCCAGACGCTGCCTAGTACCTCAGTTAATCTGGACAGTAAGCTGTCTCCACCGTACTTAAATACCTCTGGCGTCATTCCATCAGGTCCCGCTGCTTTGCCTAGTTTCAGATTGGTGACAGCTTTAGTAACCTCAGTTAGTGATGGAGGACCTGTGTCTATATCCCATTCAGGGAGGTGTTGGATGCTCGGAAGGTTGAGCGTGGCTGTGGGCAAATTAAACTGCTCCTCATAATGCTCTTTCCAACGATCCAGTCGTCTATCCTGTGAGCTAATTATAGTGCCATTTTTTTCCGAGATTGTCTCACTAATGATTTGTCTTCTCCCACCCGTTTCCCTGATGAGTCCAAAGAGTTGCCTGGTGTTGCCTATCCTCAAAGCTTTCTCCATCTCTTTGGCTTTTGTCGCCCACCACTGTTCACGGTCCTTGCGGAGACTTTTCGTAAGTTTCCTCTTGTGCAGCTTTCGCTCCTCATTGAATTCGGAGCTCGCCGGAATAAGTCTTCTAGCATCTATCAGTTCGGATGAGGCGGTGGAGATCCAGTGGTTTTTACTCACCTTTGGGTTTACCTTATTCACAGCTTTTACAGCTGTATCTATGGCTGCCTGGATATTTTTCCAAGCTTCTTCAGGGTGAGCACAGCTGTCGAACACAGATATGTGTTTAGCTAGTTCTTCCTGAAATACGGATTTAGTTTCCTGATCGAGCTGGGGACGTGATGGTTTTACCGCCAGCTGTTTCCTACGTCCGTTCAGTCTTAAGCACACACGAGCGCGGACCAGTGCATGGTCGGTATCTACGCACGTGTTCCAGAAGGAGCGACAATCTCCTACCGACCCACGCCAACGATAGCTTATTGCTATGTGGTCTATTTGTGTCCAGCGTTGGTTTGATGAAGGGGGTCTCCAAGTCAAACAGTGTCTTTCCTTGTGTTTAAAGTTAGTGCTTACAAGAAACAAATGATTATCAGAGCAGAACTGTAGGAGACGGTCACCGTTGTCGGTTCGCTGGCACGGAGCTCCATAGGTGCCACCGACATCCTTCTCAGATTGACACAATTTCCCTACTTGAGCATTAAAGTCACCAGCTAGAACGACTATGTCTGAGCGTTTAGCCTTTCCACCAAACTAGACAGCTTTTGGTAGAACTCATCCTTCGTTTCATCTGAACTGCAGTCAGTGGGGGCGTAGGCGGAGATTACGAACATTGTACACGCTTCCTTGAATATTGCTTTCAGAGAGTTCCAATGTTCTTCCACACAAGTTTCTTCATTGATGCCACGTAGTGTGTCCGATTTTGATGGCCTGAGCCCACACATGCTCTCCTCCTCGACTCTGTGTCCAACAAGCTGCGTCTCAACTTCCTTAAGCAGTATTAAGATGAAATGTATTTGGTTTGTGGTATGTCTGTCAGGCGAAATCCATGTTGCTTTGTGTATACCTGTGTGTTTGTCCACGTTGCTTCCGATCACCAGATCATTGAATGCACAGAAGCCTGTGAATAATTATTCGCTCTCAATCATTTTTACGGACCAGAGCCTCTCGACTCATGATGAGTTATGTTCCTGCGTTATCTGCTCCCATTATGGCCGGCATTCATATCGCTCATAAAGATTTTGACGTTATCATCTGGGATATCTTTGATTGCCATCTGTAGTTGTCTGTAAAAATCCCCCTTCTTTTCTTGTTCCGCATTGTTTGTAGCACTGAGCCTGCGTAGCATTGGATAATTGGTACTAGCTTTTTAATGTCTTCACACATGTTCTCGGAGTCACTTGATTGGAATTCCGAAGCTGTCGTCGTTAATAAGTCGTGATTCTATCGGAGCCTCATAGTTAAACAATAATGTGTCTGCATTGAGACCTGATAGTCATAGGATTAATAATCATCTAAGTGTGCATGGTGAATAGATAGTTGGGATTAAAGTGCCGTAAACCTAGAAGCCTTATTCATTTTATTATATATTGACTGATTATATATGAATAGGTAATATATTCGATTAGATGTGTTCCAATGTTATATGTAGTAGTGAATAGCTTTCCATGCATTTCTGTTACCCAGAAACATGTTTATAATATATATGAATGTCTTTTCACGAGGAAAAAAAAAGCGATTTTTGTTTTCTTATTTACATTTTCGTATTTTCTTTAAAAAAGTTTTTTTTAAAAATTTTTATTTCTAGTTTGAATTAACAGAACACTATGGTTCAGAACATTATTGTCCATTGACTATGATCAGAATATTCGGTTTAGGCTCTGATGATTTAGACGATGATGACGATGATGATGATATTGTTGATGTTGGTATGGTGAATATCCAAGGCATGCGTAATAATCACAAGTCTATTGGTGTTGTTGGCGGTGATAACAACAATACAGGTATATCATTCTTAATTTATTTATCAAGTGTTAGTCTAGGGGTTTGATTGGTTACAGGGTCGATCACTGGCTGACATCATTTAGAGAACCATTGAAAAGTCAACAGCGAGTACTAGACAGCTGTTTCGCCCTAGTTTGGGACTCTTCGTCGATACGGATCCACTGCCAGGGTTCGAACCCAGAACCTTCCGGTTGTAGGGCGAGCTTGTAGACCATTCAATCCCTGAGACCTGACCCAATAGTCCATGAATTCCAACTTCCGCTAATTCGATATGTATATATCATTTATTTTCGATCATATAACAGTATATTCGGTCGACTTCCGTCGGCTTTTAAGTACAGTAGTTTACTTTTTTTGTTAAAATCACTTAATACTTCGGTAGCTGAAATGTAAGCATTGTGTCATGTGTCCAGTCCTCAGTTATCGGGTCTGTCTAAATCCTAGCAATGAAGTTTTGAGTGTGATCACCACGCCAGGTGGTAAATCACCATTGTGGTACATTATCAATTGATATTAGGGGATTGTTGGAGGCGATTGGCAAGAATCCCTTGACTTTGTTGGCAATCACCGGCAAAGTGTATCTGCAACCTCGAAGGTACTGACAACTGTGATATCCCCTCGGAGATTCGAACCTTTATCATCCGAATGTTTTAGTGAAAGCCACTACCACCGAGTTGTTTGAACTCAGTCTCACTGGTAACGACTCTGATAACTGCAGTACTGGATGACAACATGAGCTTGAATCGTCTAGGAGACATCAATTTCTTAGAGGTCGTCCAGGTACGCCTTTCTGGCTTGTTGTACGTTCTACAGACAAGAAACCCTAGGTGTCCATGGTTTCCTATTGATGACCTCCAACAATTTGTTGAAACTATTACTAATAGTGGTGCAGTAAATTCTTAGTCTTCAGTAGATAATATGAATGTATAACTTCTCATCATATTTTGTTTGAATATTAAGTAATATAATGTGTAAGTCAGGGAAGACAATCATCATCACAAATTCTAATGATTTCACCATTATTGAATTGAGTTTTTGATTTTCTCGTCGAGTCCTGAATAGGACGAAATGCGCATCCTGAATTCCACTGCTAGCCACCATCCACCAATTGGATTTCAGCATTAATTGTTGATTGTGAAATTTTATCTCAAATGAAAATTCATACATGAATTCCCCTTTATGAATTTTGAATAAGACAAGAATCACCGTTTGTGCAGGTTGTAAAAGACGTACTTGAATGAAATTGATGCATTTGATCCGGTATACAGTATATTCACACTATTGACAACATCATCAACGGATTGAGTTTCATTTCTCAATTTTTGCAATCTACCACACACTCTCTCAACCAACTTTGACATACTTTGACTGAACACTAGTAACTACAGTCTTACAGGAGGGGAGGTCAATCACGAGCCAGCCCGAATAGAGCTGGCTCAGTGCTAACGTCTCTGACTGCAAAACTGCACTGGATGATGACAGTGCGGGTTCGAGTCTCAGAAGTAGGGACATGAGTTCCTGTAAGGTTTCAGATATGTCTTGGTGACCGACTGGTGAATGTCAACTAGCACTAAACCTAAGTCGAGCAAGGCTTCTGAATATAGCCTACCGTCTTACAAGTTCTAAACAGATAGTGGACACCACATCATCGACACCCTACCCAACTACTCAATTTGCTGTGCATAACTGAGTAGCACTAAACACACACACACACACACACACACTGACACACAAACACAAATACTACATGAAATTAACAAGCATTTCTAAACACTGAAAGCATACAAGTAACTAGTATTAACGGAACTATTAAACAGTAATATGGAGCAATATTTATTTTAACAAGCAGATATGACAGTTCATAGGGCTACACCTAATTTTTCATTAGACGAAAGAGAATTTCTGTCTATAATCAACGGATTGAAAACTAAAAGCAATCAATAATATTGTATTGATTCAATTACAATAACTAATTTATATATTTTTGATTGGACAATAGTAACTAGTGTAGTGTGTTTAGTCCTTTCTTTATTTTTGGTGCAGACTGAATTCTATCAGTCAGTCAGGTTTGCCATGTGGTCACCACTCTAGGTAGTTCTCCATCACGGAACCTAGGTCAAGCAAGGCTTCCTGTGGCCGATAGCCTCCAACTATCTAGTATCATCCAATCTTTGACATACAACAAAATTGCATATCAAATCAACAGAATCCTTAAATTTCATACTTCAGAACTGAAGCCCAATCCCTTGATGATGTTTTCAGCAGTGTGAATTTAGTATATCGGAACAAATTCATCCATTTCATTCGAGACCTTCTTCAACCTATACAAACTGTTATTCTTGCTTTATTCAAACTCTTAATGACAATGTTTTAGAAATTTTTTTCTTGAAAGCAAGATGTATGTATGTGAATACATTCCGTTAATTCTGTTGTTATTCTACTAGTCACCTCTTTTGTGAGTAGTAGAGAGGTTTCGCGTGCGTTTCGGATTGTGAGGGCGATTGTTATTTCCCGGCTGCCCACACCGTGGAAGTTGGTTGCGTGACCGCAGAGCCCAGGGGACAACTGCTTGAGGCCGGTCACACGCGGCCTGTTTTTGTTCGTTCTCTTTTGTTTGGTGTGCCTCAGTAGCATACTTATCACTCCTGCCCTGTGACACGGCAGCAGGAAGCGCGGTCGTTGTTAATCCGGGCCACGGCCGATCCGGCATGAAATTTTGTGATTTTGTATTGGACATGATGTTGGATTGGGTAGCTGCTTTTTGTTTAACCGCTATCCAAACAACCTGCCTGGCATGGTAGGACCTCAAGAGACATAAGTCTCAGCCAGTATAGCTTGAATAGATCATTGCGGTGTTCAAGCCCGACCACCACGTCAAGGTAGCAGCTTTCGGTCGGGCCTCTTTTGTGAACGTTCATTGAACTAATATAGTTTTACTAAATTTCCTCCTACAATATTTCATTATAATACAGCAATAGGAGAAATATTCAGAGTTATATAACTTAGATGGTTGAAGGCAATCGGTCACAGGAAGCCTTGCTCGACCTAGGTTTGGTGCTAGTTGACATTCACCAGTCGGTCACCAAGGTATATCTGAAACCTTACAGGAACTCATGTCCCTACTTCTGAGACTCGAACCCGCACTGTCATCATCCAGTGCAGTTTTGCAGTCAGAGACGTTAGCACTGAGCCAGCTCTATTCGGGCTGGCTCGTGATTGACCTCCTCCTGTAAGACTTTAGTGGCTATTTTGATTGGACACTAGTAACTTAGTGTGATGTGTCTAGCCCTTTATTTTTGGTGTAGACTGAATTCTGTCAGTCAGTTGGGCTTGCAGTATGGCCACCATTCTAGGTGGCTCGCCATCACAGTGCACATTGATTTGATGATATTAGATGGTTGGAGGCTATCGGCCACAGGAAGCCTTGCTTGACCTAGGTTCCGTGATGGAGAACTACCTAGAGTGGTGACCACATGGCAAACCTGACTGACTGATAGAATTCAGTCTGCACCAAAAATAAAGAAAGGACTAAACACACTACACTAGTTACTATTGTCCAATCAAAAATATATAAATTAGTTATTGTAATTGAATCAATACAATATTATTGATTGCTTTTAGTTTTCAATCCGTTGATTATAGACAGAAATTCTCTTTCGTCTAATGAAAAATTAGGTGTAGCCCTATGAACTGTCATATCTGCTTGTTAAAATAAATATTGCTCCATATTACTGTTTAATAGTTCCGTTAATACTAGTTACTTGTATGCTTTCAGTGTTTAGAAATGCTTGTTAATTTCATGTAGTATTTGTGTTTGTGTGTCAGTGTGTGTGTGTGTGTGTGTGTTTAGTGCTACTCAGTTATGCACAGCAAATTGAGTAGTTGGGTAGGGTGTCGATGATGTGGTGTCCACTATCTGTTTAGAACTTGTAAGACGGTAGGCTATATTCAGACTGTCAGGTGGGTAATTCAAGTCAAGTTTTAAAATTTTCCCTCATTCTCCTACTCACAACCTTAACTCTCAATAGGGGTTAAAGGCGAATATGAACGTCTAGCGCTTGTAACCTGACTGATGGACGTGCTGGTCTACATGGGAGAGCTTGATAATCCTGATTTCAAACTAATGGGGAACATGGGCTTCAAAATCCGATCAAATTGAATGGCATATGAATCTGTTTTAGTCACCGTGTACCATGGGAACACGCTGCTTCACTGCCGTCGGCGGAGGGGACTGGTGGCCCATCAAGACGATTAAATCTTGGCGTTCGAGCAGTATCTCATCCTTTACCCAAACTATGAGATTTCGTGTGGTGCATCTTTTGTTGTCCATAATGTACTCAGTTTGTGTTTCAATAGTGTAACAATAATGATGATAATAATAGCAATAATAGTAAAGAAAGAGATATATTCAGGTACACCTTACTTGTAGATGGTAGCAAGAGGGAAAATTAAATAGATCACAGACTTATAGCTCAGATATCATCCAATTTATAAATTTATTTTTATTCCTTTACGTTCCCAGTGGAACATAGGGCTTCAAGCTAGAGGCTTGAAGTTTCAGTAGCAGAGGTGCTTTGAATAATTTTTTACGGAATTGCTGAGGTTTCTAGCCTCATGCCCAACCTTCCATCTGTACAAGTTTTATTACTGGCTTAGCGAGGTAAAAGGAATACGTCGTGGCCGGGGATCGAACCTCGGACCACATCTGTGATCCGCGAGCATTCTGCTGCTGTGCCACTGACGCAAACGGCATATAATGTTACTGAAATAAATGACAATAGCTGTATTAGGTAACCGAGAAATTATGCTCAACACAGTAATTCGAAATCAGTCGTCTACGGTGGGTGGTTCAGTGGTAGAACTCTTGCCAACCACTCACATGGTCCGGCGTCCGATCCTCCGCTAATGCACTTCTAAACCCCACCAACCTGGTAGTAATGCCGATAAAGGGGGAGGGGGAAGGTTGAGCTTGAGGCAGAGCAGAAATAAAACTACTGTTACCGAAACTTCAGAGCTCTCGCTTTCGAAACCCTGTGGTGTCCACTTGGAATGCAAAAGAATAAGATTTGCACTCCGGCTGTGGGCGAGTGTTGCTGAGGAGTCCCAAACTGGGACGAAACAGCCGTTGAATACTACCTGTGAACTTTCACAGGTTCTCTAACTGATATCAATCCGTGTACAGATTTCAAACAAATCAATCCTCTAAAAAGTAACGCTTTAAAACCTACTTTTTGTTTTAAAGAAAATTTTGTTATCATAATTGCTTTATATTACCTTTTATTTCTTATCCTAATTTTTCCTAAATTTATGTTTCATTATTATAGCTGAAGGGTATGAAAGTGTCAAGGTTCTAGGGAACGATGCAAATAATTCACCAGAATCGAATGTTCCTCCTCATCAATCCAGTGAAGATGATAGTTCTGTTTCACCCTCCTCATCACCATCATCATCACCATCCAGTAATGAGGTGAATGTCGATTTCCAACAGAATCATTCAAAATCGAATGAATTAGAGCCTTCAATAACTCCTTCACCGTTTCGAACTACTGAAGATAATCAAAATCTTGATAGTATCAGTAAATCATCAGATGAAAATAATGATAATAATAATAATAATAATAATGCCGATCGATTTATCGATCATTCAGTGTTATTCTCTACTTCAGCGAAGAATCAACAAGATAAGAGTATGCATTCATCATCAAAAGGTGATAAGTATTTGAGTTTTTCTAAGAATAACGGATTCTGTTTGAATAATCGGTTGGAACGATTATTACATAAACCTTATTGTTTAGGTGAGTTTATAATTCTTTTTGTTTTGTTTTTTAAAAACTTTTTTTTATTCAATCGAACTACTGATTAAGTGACCGACAGTTACAAAGATACGCTAACCTGCGTTAAGGAATATGAAGTAAACAATTTGTTAAAATTACACTAACTCAGTATGGCATTAGAATGTGTTTTGTTCTTCTCTGAACCCACTCATCTCAATAGTGAGAGGTAAACCTCTTTTCAGGAAGGCTTTTGGAAGTCTGTGGGAAGTTGTTACTTCCCGGCTGCTTACAGCGTAGAAGTTGATTGATTCTTCGGGTACTTGAAATGGAGAGGGGTTAGTGTTGTGTGACCACAGAGCCCAGGGGACAACTGCTTGATGCTAGCCGGTCACACGCGGTTTGGTTCTGTATTAGTAAACTTACCGCCGGTTACGGACCACCTTAGGATAAGTCGAGATGTACAATTTTCGGGTCGACCTTTTCTAACCCCCTTTCTCCAGAGTGGAGAGACAGCCTAGCTGACTGGCCTGCTAGTCATCTGAGGGAAACATCTCACTGTGGATGTTACATCCCTGTTCCTCAGCAGTATGACTTCGCTCTCAGACCCCCAGCATAGTTTAAGAAAGATTCTTACACAATGGCGGTGACTGCTTTTAGTCTAATCGCTATCCTAACAGCTTCTGGACATGGTAGGGCCTGCAGGAATATTGGTTCCCGTAAGTGTAGCTTGTTGGGTCATTGCGATTTGCAAGACCGACCACCACGTCAAGGTATCAGCTGTCGGTCGGGCTAGCGGCGGTCAAGGCAAAACATGACTACTTCATCAGTCAGTGAAATCCACTACAGTTAGTTTAAGCTACGTAGGAAGGTGTAGACTTCCCGGATGGGGTCCTCGGGACGGTAAAAACCAATGGCTGGTTACAATCGGTGATATGATTCAAAATCCTCTTTCTCAATGTCTGGTGCAGATGTATCCTTGTGGCTTATAACGCCCAATGAAACTACATTGTTCTTCGTTACTACTATTCCTTTTGTCTGGTAATCCTGTCTAATGTCACTATTATGCATTTCTGTTTACTTTCTTCTCTTGGTTTGTGTGCTACATGGAGAGAGTGTAGCGACTCGAAGTGGTGCACATCAGTGCAAAGTTGTCCTATACGTTGAAAACAGACAGAGATAGACAGACAGACAAACCTCTTTTCTAATCCAGTCAGTAAAATCCAGCATTTAAGCTTTGGGATTGCTGTTTCGCATAGGTTATGTAGTTCACACCACAATCTTGTACTCTATGTAGTAGGTGATATGAAAATAATAAAAATCCCCAAAAGGCCAGAGAATGAAAGATACGAAGTAAAAGTGATGAATGAAGGAAAAAAACATGATGAAAGGATTTATGCCCGTTTCATGATTCATGGGATTAGATAGAGTTTTTAAATTCATGAAAAATCCCCATTCGAACAACAATAATAGACAGAAGACCAGTAGTTTAGCGAAGAGTCTCATTTCGGCTCATTTTCATAGCTGTACAACCGCAAATATATATGTGGTTCTTTTGTATGTGTGCGTGTGTGTGTACATTAAATTTGCCAAACGAAAATAAAATTAGTAAGTTCAGATGAATTGGATGTTGATATAAGACGGTAGTAACAAAAGTGATGAGTTGTCAGAAACGATTATTAAACAGGAGTTACGTAATAACATGGATAGTTTTATGAAAGAGTTGTCCTCAGGGTTTCCATGGTGACAAAATAACATGCAGAATTGCGCAAGAGTTTTGAGTAGTTAGGAAAATAAGCATACGAGCAAAAGTTCAGTAAAATCAACAGAGTTGTTACCATCATAGTAGAAGTGGTGTTGATTTTACTGAACTTTTGATTGTTTGCTTATTTTCCTAACTACTCGAAACTCGCTTAATTCCGTATGTTATTTTGTCTCCATGTCCACCCTGAGGACAACTCTTTCATAAAACTACTCACGTCATTACGCAACTCTTCTTTAACAATCGTTTGGTGACAACTCATCACTTTTGTTACTATCCTCTTATATCAACATTCATTTCATCTGAACTTACTAATTGTATTTTCGTTTGGTAAATTTAATGTACACACACACTCACACATACAAAAGAACCATATATATTTGCGATTGTACAGCTATGAAAATGAATTCACCGAAAAGAGTTTTTCAAGGGAAGAGATGTCCTTTATATTCTCATACCTTTGTTACCTTAATTTCGATTACGAAAAGGGAAAATACTGAACTAGGTCCACGGTTAATTGTAAAGGCTGGACTAGTTTCTTTTGAACACATAGTTCCGGCTTTTCGATGCATATGGCGAGAGCTTCCGCAGTACAAAGAAGTCGGAAACACGCTGCCTTTGGTAGATTTTTGTTTACTTATCGGGTTGATGATGCGTTTCTTTTCCTCTTTTCGTAAGATAACTTGTATAATGTTTTAAAAGCAGGTTTTAGTCCCGCCTCAGCTAGTTTTTCTTGAGTAACTAGGTAATATCATTACCCCGACTTGATAAGCATAGCTTTTAGTTTTGTAAATAAAAAGTTTAATCGAACACCATTACCTAGTGTGACGTGTCTGGTTCTTTCTTTATTTTTGGTGTAGACTGAATTCTATCAGTCAGTCAGGTTCGCCATCACGAAATCTAGGTCGAAGGCTTCCTGTGGCCGATAGCCTCCAACTATCTAATATCATCAGAATCAATGTGAACCATATTGGAGAGCTACCTAGAATGTTGGCCATATTGCAAAACCTGACTGATGGAATTCAGCCTGCATCAAAAGGAGAGAGGACTAGACATGTCACACTAGTTACTAGTGTTCAATCAAAATATCCACTACAGTTCAACAGGACATCAATCGCGAGCGCGAATAACAGGCTTAGTGGCAACGTTTCTGACTGCAGCACTGTACTGGGTGACAATGTGGGTTCGAATCTCAGAAGCAGGGACATGAGTTCCTGTAAGGTTTCAGATACGCCTTGGTGACTCACTGGGTATTCTCAGCTAGCAGGAAACCTAGGTAGAGCAATGCTTCCTCTGGTCGACTGCCTTCAACTATCTAATACCATCAAATAAAAAGTTTGTTTCGAGCGGTTGAGTCCAAACACTTATTTGTCTTAAATGCTTTACATTGTGTTCGAGGTTTCTTCTCACCTAAATTTCATTATGTATATGCTTTTATTTAATATCCATTAACACTAAGTGGATTGATTTGATTGTTTCTTTTTTCTGTGCTTTAATTTTTTTAGCTTTATCTTATCGTCAATACCATAGTGGTGATGCTGAGAAGAGATCTTCTCCGCCTACTTGTCATACCACAAAGCTGTTGAATACTGTCAATCCACCAACTGGAAAATCTCATCTCCCTATAATACCTACCACTAAAACTACAACTACAAAATCTACAACACAGAAGAAAGGCTCTATTCTAGTCGCTAATGATGAGGTGAAGAAAACCTCGCCAAATAATAATTTAACACTACAATCACGTAATAAAACATTCAGTCAAGTGGTTGATGAAATCAGTATTGTCTCTCGGTTGACAAGTAAGCTACTCTTAAATTTGGTAATGACTTTTTTTTGGTTGGCATCATTTCACTAACAAAATAACTATGATGATAACTGTAATTTCTCCCTTCGCCGATGTCTGATTTCCCACAAACCAGAAGATATGCAATTGAAAAGCAACAAGCTGGCAGAAGAAGCATCCTGAGAAGATAAGACTTCCTTCAGGTGAACATATCGAGAGCAGAGGCAGGTGATGAAGATTCCTGGATAACACCAACAACAACAGACGACAATCAGCATAAATGGAAGAAATCTGAAAGAAACAACCTTCTTTACCTACCTACCTACCTACCTATCTGGGAAGCATCGTTTCAACTACAGGCGGACGGAACTGATGAGGATATCAAAGCGAGGATCGGGAAAGCAAGACAAGCTTTTACTTACCCTGAAGTCTGTGTGGAGGTCAACAGCACTCACCATGAAAAAATAAGATCCGGATTTTCAACTCCCATGTGAATTCAGTGCTACTCATTATACGGATCAGGGACTTGGCGCGTCATAAAGAGCATCTTAAACATACTTCACACCTTCATTAACAGTTGTCTTCACTCAATACCACTCAAGATCAGATGGCCGCCAGAAAAGATTAGCAACAGGGATCTCTGTCAATGAGCGAACCAATCAGGAACCGATTATGAAGCAAAAAGGCAGGAAGAAATGGAGATGGATTGGCTGGCCATGCTCTGAGGAAACCATCAAGTGACATCACTAGACAAGCCATTGCTCGAGTGAAACTTGAAAGGGAAGCGGCGAGTTGGTCGTCAGTGCAAGGGTGACTTGGAGGAGGTCATGTGAAGATGAGATGAATTCATGTGGGCAGACTTTGAGCGGACTGAAAAAATTGGCAGAAAACCAAAGACAATGGAGATGCGCAGCTGAAGCCTTATGTTCCTCTAGGAATTAAAGGATAAAATAATAATAATATAATCGACATATATGCGAAAACAAGTCTATCTGGCTCTGTCAGTTTTCAGCATATAGAAAAACTTTGCACCGATGTGCACCACTTCGAGTCGTCACACTTTCTCCATATAGCACACAAAGCAAGAGAAGAAAGTGAAAAGAAATAGAGAAAGTAGAGAGACAATAGACAGGGATATGAGACAAAAGGAATGGTAATAACGAAGAGCAAGATAGTTTCATCGGATATTAGAAGTCACAAAGAGTGGATGCATCTGCGCCAGCCATTGAGAACAGTTTTGAGCCATATCATCGGTTGCCTCCAGCCATTATTTTTTACCGTCTCGAGGACCCCAACCAGGAAGTTTACACCTTCCCACGTGCCTTAAACTAACTGTTGTGGATTTCATTGACTTGTGAAGCCATGTTTTGGTTTGACTACCACAAACAGTTCTTTTCCAAACTGACGCATCCTATATCAGCTTACATCACCCATCGTCGAGAAAGGCGGCGATGTCTTGGTGTACATGCGTAATACATGTTTTAACCATCTCACTCAATCGATGTAACTGTTTCACAACCTTGTCGATTGATTTACCCTCCCCACCTACCCAGCACTCGACCGAAGCCTAACTTCACTATTGCTTACTCACCAGTACTCAAGCATTTTATACCGCCGTGCATAACATCACCATTTTTTTTAAAAAAAAACTAGTACCACAATTACTTAATCTACTCCTTTTTTCGTTTCCTTTTTTAAAGACAAGTTTATTCATTTTTCATAAATAATTGAGTGTTTTTGATAATTTTCTTCTGTATTCTATTTTAGATGCTGTAAAACATGCAGTGTTTGGAACATTTTCACAGTTTTTCACGTCTATGCAACAAGGTTAGTTGGTAGGCGTAATGTTCCATGTCATGTCATGTGAAAGGTTGCATGTGTTCTTGTTGTTCTACTTTTCCTTTGTTTTTTTAAACTAATATTCTATTTATGCCTTGTAATTATTAATATTTATTTCATTTGTAATGTGCTTATTATAAAATACAGAGCATTTAAATTTATATATGCAGGTTATTATCACTATATTAGTTTTATTCTCCTTCCTTCTCCCTCTCTGTTTCTCTATTGAACTAAACTATAAACTGTATAAATAAACTATAAAATGATATCATTATATTCCACAGGCTCTCATCAGCTGCTGCACGCCCCTGCCTGAAATTGCAATGGCTATAAATAATAACATTTCATACCTCAATGTTTCACAGGTAATGATAAAAATATAAGATGTACGCATCCAGAATATAAGTGTAACAACAGAAGACAAGGGTCAGGCAACAGATCGTTTTATTACGGAAATCAGCACGTATTTATATATATATTTCATGTACATTATTATAGCTTATTCAAGTAGACAAACACAGTCTTCTGATTGGTTGCTTCTGGTTTTCTCGGAAAGTGGAGCTATCTATCTGCGAATCATGTTGCCCACGTTAAGTTTGCTGTGATTGGTTGTTGAATCAGCCTTGTTCATATTTTCTCACGGCCAATATTAGTGACCTAGACATTGACGTAGATTAATGTCTACCAATTGGCTAGCAGCCTGCTCTCACCACATAAGTATTACAATTTTTAGTTTGAGTTGCCATCAATTTATACACTATCAAACTGTGAAAGAAAAAAGGGGGGTTGACAGAAGACAGAAAACAGAAAAATCTAAATAAACTGTGTTAGCTTGTACGTTGACATGGCAACTCAAGAAAGTTAAAGTTCATCAAATTAAAAACTTACTTAATGAGCTGAGCCCACTAGTCTGTATGACTAATCAGTGTAATAAAAGTGATACTGTTACCAAGGGAATCAGAGATTGACTATACTGTCTTTCTGTTCGGTCTGAGACGTTTGATTGCAATTGCTTCAGCATTAGATCATAGTAGATTCACTGTCCTTTGTGTGTTTGATAGTTTGAAGGATTTGGAAGTCTTGACAAAATGACCCGTAATCAGAAGGTTTCTGGTAATTGCACTTTGTAAATATCTGCTTCTTTTTAGGCATAAGTTTCTTGGAATATGCTTGTTATGTACTCGTCGCTAAATTATTGTTATGGACTGGTTGAGAAACTAATAGTCCTGACGCGAGAAGGCGGAAATCAGAAGACCACTAGGTTTGCGATGATACTTCTATTGTCCAAACACAAGGAGACGAAAATAAAATGGTCTCACACCAAAGTGGTAAGCAAGTCAAGTAGTTGGAAAGTAAAGTAGTTCACACAAATTGTGAATGCGAATATATATAAAATAATTCAGACAAGCGTGGGAAAAATCATTAGACAGTCTTAACATGAATGGCTAATTATAATGGAGTGTCGATCCAATTATACATAGTGAATATAGCAGACATGCCAACAAACATATATGGATATATGTCACCAAGCAACGGACTGTCAACAAACACTAATATTATATATAATATAATATAAGGAGAATACACATTATTAAAGGAGACAAGTCCATACAAATGAAGTGGTCACAGACTAACCGAGCAAACAGAAAGAGAGACCAACATGCACACACACACATAAATATATATATGTGGATACATATCAATGCTCTGAAAACCGGATAGAAGTCCTGGCTTCTTTCTGTTCTTCCAATTTACTTCCTTCTGCAGGTGCACGTAAATTTATAAATGCAGTTGGAGGTAACATCAGCAGGGTACTTATCCAGTTTCGATTGCCTTATAGAGCATGTAGTACTATATAGTGTCACCAGATTGGTTGCAGGGAAGCATCTTTTTATTGCTCCCTTCATCCTCTTTTCAATCTTTTGCGATACTGTTTCTCCTTTGTATGGGAGGCAAATGAACACTTTCTTCTTTTCAACTGTTGGATAATTCTCTTTCTCATCTCTTTCTTTGCTGTACTTTAGAATAAATCCTTTTGGGTACCTGTTTTCCATAGGCCACTTTTCAACAAAGCTTAATTCTTCTACCTTTCTAGGTGAGCATAACTTCCTGGCCCTGTCGTACAGTGTCCTTACTAATCCCCGCTTATAGCTTATAGGACAGAAGCTGTTGTAGTGAAGGTATTGTCCAGTTCAAGTTTCTTTTCTGTAGATGAAATTTTCGACAGCTCGGTCGTTTCTTTTTACATTTAGGTCCAGGAAATTGAACTCATCGTTGTGTTCGTATTCCATGGTGAATTTAATGTTTGGGTGGATCTCATTTAGGCGGTCAAAGAATACGGATGCCTGACTCATGTAGTTACAATCAACAAACGTACCATCGATGTATCGACGATAGTATGTTCTTTCATTGATAGAGTCACTCAGTCGCGTCTGTTTGAGATAAGATGTTGGCTAGAATAAGTCCTAGAGGTGAACTTATGGCTACCCCGTCAATTTGTTGGTAGAATTGATTATTGAATCTAAATTGGATGTCTTTTGTGCAAAGAATTAGTAGGCGCTTCATCTCTGTCTCCTATAATAGCAATAGATCTGTTTGTTTACAAATGATGTCTATTGTTTCCATCACTGGTACATTTTTAAATAAGGCAGTCACATCGTATGACACCATTAGTTTATTTGATGTATCAACATGGTCGGCTTCTTTATAAAATTGGAAGGTGTCATCCAAGATATGATTTTCAAATTTCTGTTGAATTGGCGTCAATAAATCAGCTAACCATCAAGCTAGTTTGTGGCTTGGTGACTTTATCATTGATATAGTATATGGGTCTTGAGGGCACATTAGCCTTATGGGTTTTCGGTAGACCGTACATAAATGGGAGGCATCCACCTTTCAACTTGAGTTCATCGTAAGTTTTGTTGTCAATCAGTTTTTTTTTATGAGGAGTTCTTTGAGTCATTTATTTACTTTATTTTCAAATGAAGTTGCATCCTTCTTAGTTTTGTCCACCTGAAATTTTTTGGGGTCCTTAAGAATTGTCAACATTTTATGTACACAATCAGTTTTATTCATTATTTTCATTATTCATTATACTGCAAATCTGGTCTTTCTTTCTCTATCGAAATTAAATAGCTGCATGTATTTAAGACTGATTAATTATTCCTGTTCATAGTTGCATTATGGATAAGATTTTATTTTGATAAATCACACAGTGTTATACAGTAATATTAGCTGATGACCGCGTTTCGAGCACAAATTATTATGTGTCAAGACACATATAAACTCACTAGTGGAGGGAATAAAATTCACTTTTGAATCGGAAAATGAACAAGGAGAATTAGCTGTGATGTTAGATTGTAAAATAAAACGAATAGAAGAAGGTTAACTGCACACTAGCGTTTATAAAAAACCAACGCATTCTGCTAATAGATATTTAGACTTTAATTCATCTCATCTGTTCGTTGTCTCTAAAGGCTGGTTTAATTAAGTGTCTAACAAACGAGCAGTAGCACTAAGTAACACAAGGAAAGACCCAAAAGGATGAAATATGACACATAGAAGAGGCGTTGGTGTTAAATAACTATCCTTTAAAATTCATTAGGAAGATCGAAAAGGCCAAAAGCGAAATAAAAATAATTGTGAAACTAGTAATAATAACATAAATAAGAGAGAATATAAGACATCTGAGACCCTACGTGGGATTTTTATATGGTATTATAAAGCAGGAATTGGAGTGGCACTCAAACCTACAAAGTCACTCAGAGACAAGCTTTGTAGGTTGAAGGATCCTGTAGGTTGACCCAATTAAACAAAATAATATAATTTACGAAATACTTTGCAATGACTGTGAGGTCAACTATATCGGTCTAACTAGTGTAACAACAGAAGACAAGGGCCATGCAACAGATCGTTTATTAAGGAAATCCACACATATTTATAAATTTTTATATACATTATTATTGATTATTGTTAGCAGAAAAACACAGTCTTCTGATTACTTGTTTCTCACTGAAAGTTAATCTTTCATCCCTATGTGGCTCTTTCTTGAATGTCAGATCATCTATATGCTAATTGTATCCGCCTACGCAAAGTTTGCTGTGATTGGTTGTTGAATCAGTCTTTGTTCTTATTTCTCTCATGACCAATATTGGGGACGTAACATTGACGTAAATTACTGTCTGCCAATTTGGCTAGCAGCCAGCTGTCACCACACTAGTGGTTTGTGGGTAATCAGATTGTCAGAACATAAGAATTTAGCTAAGGTAAGAATGGTTGACTCCGAGACGATAAGTAATCTAGAAAAAACTACTCAGCAATTGCAATGCATGCACACAAAACCTCTCTAATCCAATCCGAATTGCAATGCATGCATTAACACACAACCACACAATAGGTTGGGAAAGGGTTAAGATTCTAAGAAGTAATCTATGTAGATGGAGAGAGAGAAATTGATTACTGAATTCTGCCTGGTTCATCGAGTCTACACCCAACACATACAGCAGAAATGACTCAATGCAAGTACAAGAGGTATGGAAGATATTATTAACGCCAGTCAGTCAAATCAGAGGAGGATAATAAATAATCTTAAAATTCTAATTCAATTCACGTACATCATAACATTCTAACAAGTAACTTATTATGACTATAAAAACACTCGTATTATTATTATTATTTCTTAATGTACATTATCACATTGACTTTTATTCAAATATGTAGTGAATTCCACACATGTATATAAATGAAGGAAAAAAGTTGTGTGAATGAGTGACTTGATATGATTTTGAGCGGCAGTAATTTGTGCTTGAAAGGTGGTCATCAGTTAATATTACTGTATAACACTACACTGTGTGGCTTATCAAAATAAAATCTTATCTATAATGGAGTTATACTCCACCACCACCACAGTACCCAAGTTTTGTACTTGTATCCTGTTCATAGTATTTTTTTTTTTAATTCTTCTTTGATTTTTCTATTTCTATTTCTGTTTTTTTTGTTTTTGTTTTTTCAGACTCCAGTACAAATTATTACAATCCACTTGAAATGATGCCAACATCAGAGCATTATACAATTATCAGCTATCTATTCAGTCAACAAGGTTTTACAAATCGTCTCTGCAAAGATTCATTAGCCTATTTAACAGTTAATCAAATTGAAGGATTATGGCAATTAAAATCATGCCTTATATCACTGAATGAAATTTATACCCTATACTATAATAATATGCAAACATCATCATCATCGGATGATAATAATAATAATATTGAAAATTTTCTTCTCTGGTTACAAACAATTCATGCCTCAAAATTAGATAAATGTCAACAAGCTGTGAAACAATTGAATTTAACACTTTTTTTCAATTATCAACTATTAGATTATTATGATATAGACAAGAGTATTCTGCACATGTTTATAGCTTATCAGCATATACAAAGGAATCGAACTAGGCGACAGTTGAATTTCATTGGTTCACAAGACTTTTCATTGAATGATTATAACAATAATAATAATGATGATGATGTGGAAGAGGGTTATGGTGTTTGTTATTCTGTTAATTGGCAGTGGATACAGTTGAATAAAATTTTGTGGTATAGACCTACAACAAATAAGGTAAGTTTGCTTCTCTCTGTGTGTGTGTGTGTTTGAGAGTGTGATTTTCTCGTATCAATGACATTTGTTTGAGTTTTTGTTTTGTCTTCAAAAGAGAACCCCAGACATTGTAGATAATAGGGAATAATCTAAGCGGGTACTTAATGCTATCCACTAAAAACAGTATTATTTATTCCCTTGGGTTTCAATGGCACTTCTCCATTTCATTCTGTTCTGAGGTGGTTAAGCGTTGAGTTTTTGGGTAAGGAGGTTGTGAAGCAGTTACATCGATTGCACACCGAAACGTCGCCGCCTTCTTCGACGATGGGCAATCTTAGTTGACTTACATAGGATCAGGTTGCTAGTGGTGGTGAAACCGAAAAAAATGGCTTCATCAGTCAATCAAGTCCATATCTCTTATAGTTGATTTGTAAGGATTAGTTTTGTTTTTATGAGTCGATCACGGATTGATATCAGTTAGAGGACTGGTGGAAACCAGCCACAGGGAGTACTGGACAGCTGTTTCTCATCCTAGTTCGGTCAGAACCTTGGCGGTGGGTGCTTCCTGCCGATGATTCTTAGAAACAAACTAGGATGAAACAGCTGTCCAGTACTCCGTGTGGCTGGTTTTCAATGGTTCCCTAACTGATATCAATCCGTGATCAACTCGTAAAAACAAATCCATATCTGTTAGTTTGAGCCAAACAGCTATGTCTGGAGGTATAGACTGCCTGACTGGTTGAAGGCTGGAGACAATTGGTGATACCGCTCAAAACCCTAGTTCTCAATGGCTGGCGCAGATGCATTCACTCTTTGTCAATTATCATATCCAATAAAAATCTGTTGTTCTTCCAACATATTACTATTCTTATCCCCTAACTTACACTTCTGTTTATTATCTCTTCATTTCGAATCTCTCCTTACTCTCTTTTCTTGCCGTGTTTTGTGTTGAGGGAGTGTGGTAAGTTGGACTGGTGCATATCTGTGCAAATTTCTATGTGGTAATCAGTCAGTCAGTCAGTCAAAACACACGGCTTCGAGAGCACATTTTGATTTCATTTGGTTCTCTTCAGTCTTTTTTTCTAAAACTTGCCCCACAGCTCCCCATATTTTCTTATTTCCTCCTCACAGGATCTCCCCCTCCCCATGTGATCGTTTGACATTCATCATGTCTTTTCCCTTTCGCGTTTCACTTGAAGGTCTTGCCCAGCTCATGATGTCGCTCAACGATCTCCTCAGTATTTGTGTGTGCATCCCATCTTCTGATTGGTTGATTCACTGCACTACAGACTTCCTCATCGGTAATTCTTTCTGTACATCAGTACCCTGCGAAGAAATTCTTATTGTTTATTATTGTTCCCTTGGGTTCCAGGTGAAACATTGGGTTTCAACAACAGATCTCCGCTTTCTTCTGTTTTCTGCCATCCTCTTCAACTGGATCCACGACTACTCATAGTCTTTTATCCCCTCCTCTGTTGATCTCCTCCATGTCACTTTCGATGTGATGACTCACTTGTTATTTCCCATTGGGATTCCACTCGAGTGATGGTCTGCATTGCTCGCGATGTCATTCGACGATCTCCTCAACGTATACCCGCCCCATCTCTATTTTCTCCTACATATTTGTTGAACGATAGGTTTCTGGTTAGTTTGTTCCCATAGATTCTCATGCGGAGCAAAGGAAGTTGTTCATAAAAGTCTGCACTAGCCTGTTGGAAATATTTTTCCGTCGACACTGGCCAAGTTTCTGCCCCATATATTGCAGAAGTGACTGACTCTTAACATTTGTGTTGAAAATACGAATCTTTTTCTTTGTGCTGGAGAGTGCTGAAGATCCTTATTTCAAATTGATGAATGCCTTCCTTGGCTTTCCGATTCTAGCTGGCTTTGGCATCTTCATCCCTCTGGTGTGCCAGTAGTTGAAATGATCCTTCTTGGATAAGTGAAGACAGTGATCTCTTTCATCAAACTGCTTCCGTTAATGGTGATTGGTGTCGCCTTGTTGTTGCTCTGTCGATTGGTGGTTACAGCCAAGACAGCTGTTGATAAATGATGAGTCTTTTTCGTTTAAAAACAAACAAAGCAATGTCAAGGTGTAAAGCCTTTTTCAATAATTTATTTGATTATTGTTTCGTAGTTTTCAATTCTTATTTCTTAGTCTTTCTTGTCATTTTTTTGCCTTGCTGTGTGGAAGTAAGGCGAGGCATGTAACTGCGATTCGCTCCCTCTAAATGTAAGATGATCAGGCTACAGGACTGGACTACATTGACTCCTAGCTTTGAAATAAGAAGTGAAATGATGGCTGAGCGTGTTGTACACTTCACTTATTTGGGAAGCTGCATCCTCCATTATGGCAGTTGCAGAGAAATGGCTATTGATAGTTGAAGACATGAAAAGGCTGGTTAGGTGTCTGCGTTGTATTTCCCGTGTTAAGTGGTATGATAGGGTGAGGAATATTGAGGTCAGGCGTGGTTCAATTGCTAGGTAAGCGTTGAGGGGAAATCAATCGACAAGGCTGTAAAGCTACATAGATTTAGATGGTTAGGACATGTGTTATGCATACATGCCTAGCCACCGCCTTCCTCGACAACGGGCAATCTTAGCTGACATAGGGTCAGGTTTGTCGAACCAAAACATGGCTTCATCGGTCAATGAAATCAACGGATGTTAGTTTAAGCCAGCCATGTAGGAAGGTGTAGACTGTCTGACTGACCGGTCGGGGTCCTCGGGACAGTAAAAACCAATGGTTGGAGACAATTGGTGATATGCCTCAAAATCGTTCTCAATGGCTAATGCAGATGCATCCACTCTTTGTTATTTATAATACCCAATGAAACTATATTGTTCTTCCTTATTACCATTCCTTTTGTCTGATATCACTGTCTACTGTCTCTATTATGCATTTCCTTTTACTTTCTTCTGTTGCTTTGTATGCTACGTGGAGGGAGTGTGGCGACTCGAAGTGGTGCACATCGGTGGAAAGTTGTTCTATATGTTGGAACCAGACGGACAGAGGCATGTAGTGGTTCACTGTGTTGTATAATGAATTCCAACAACTAAGCCCCATAGTTTATCTGACTACACAGTGGTTAGGACTCTCGCCGACCATGCACATGGTCCGAGGTTCGATCCCCTGCCGACGCACACCTGATATCTATAGTCGGTCTGCAAACTTTTGGCTACCGATATCCATGCTGAAAATTCCATACTTGTACCTAAAATACAGTGTGGAATCAAGCTGTAATCGAAAATTAAAAAAAATAAATAAAAAAGAAAAACGTGTACTTGATAAACTATAAATCTAAGGTAACAGCGTGCTTTGAAACACGTTTGATGAGCTTTTAAATATCTACATAGATAGGAGTACTTCCGGAGTAATAATAATAATAATAATGATAATAATGGATATGAAAAAGATCATTTACACGTTTAGATTTTAATACCCTCCTTTCTATCTACTTATCTATTTGTACTTATATAATACATGTATATTAATAACCAGTAGTTCATATATTGCATTGTCTTCTTCGTGGTTCCATTTGATTGATATTGATTCATTAAATATGAAAATGGCGTAAATGAGATTAATCCTTGGTAAGGTCATTCATTCATTCATTGTAATATTAATGAATTGGCTCATATCTGGTTATATGCTTGATCATATGAATGTGTGTGTGTGTGTGTGTGTGTGCGTGTCTCTGACATGCATTTAATACTGTGTCCTGAAATACAAAACAGTTGTCAATGTCTATTAAAGTACTTTAAATAGGATTTTGCCATTATTTCTTTGTTCATCAATGTAGTAGTAGCGTAGTATTGATATATAGGGAAACAACAAGCCAGAAATAGACAGATGGCAAGGGAATTATCATGTCAACCGATGAATGAAAGCATTTTCTCTCTCACCTTGACTACTGAAAAACTCCAGTAGCACGAAACGAAAGATTAGATCTATCACATTAGTTACTACTACCTAGTGTCCAATGTACGTCGGTGATAGACCGGTGAAACGCCGCCAACCAACCAGTCCTCATGTGGTCCTGGGTTCGATCCCCGACCGACCGATGGACTCTTTTACCTCCCTCATCAATCCAGTAATACGACTGGTAAAGAGGGAAGATTGAGCGTGTGGGACTAGCAACCCCATCCCGTAAAAATAAACACCACTGCTAGTGAAACTCCAAATCTCTAGCTTGAAGCCCCCTATGTTCTACTGGGAACACAAAGGAGTAAACAACCCTCAGTGTCCAATTGAAAGTATTCATCCATTACAGTCCCATAGGAGAATAGTTGCAAGCTTGAACAGCTCTAGAGTAACGTCTTTAACTAGAACGATGTGTGATCCAGGTTCAAATCTCAGAAGAGGACTTGAGTTCATGTAATATTGCCGATACGTCTTTTTGACCAGTGACAACAAGTATAAATATGATGGAGAAGATTTTTAGTTCAAGTGGATGATTTTGATGTGCTTGTTGTTGTTCTCTAAGCTGGATAGTTAATTTGCGAAGCTTTCGCCGCCCTACTAGGCAACATCTTCAGTGACTAATTCTATTTCTCCACGAGTTTATTAGTCATCTCTCCCGGTGGGTGGCTTTGATCGTGATTGGTTGTTTTTGAGTATTTTCAAACCCTCTAGGCTATTTGTGGTATTGGAACTGATTGTTTCTTTGACTTGAAATTTGACCCTTTGTGTGTTAAGTTTCTTTCTTATCGGTTGATAAATTTTGTCTATCTCGATGTGTCTATTGATTAATGATTCACTGGAATACCAGACAGGCCTCCAAAAATTCTCTAGAATTCTTGGTGTTTCCTCTGTCTAATATTTGAACGTTGGTTGTCCCAATCGAATTGATGTCCGTGATTGTCTGTATGTAGTGGTATGAGCGAGGGAGTGGATGTCGTGTATTTTGACGGCTAGCTTATGTTCGTGGATACGAAGACGAAGACGACGTCTACTTTGGCCAATGTAGTGTTTTTCGCAGCTGTTACAATTTATTTTGTAGATGATGTTGGTTTTATCTTCTTTCTCCGTTGAGTCTTTTGGTTGACATAGAGCCAGCTGAGTGAAGTGACTTTGTTGGTTTGTGTACGACGTCAATTCCTAGAGGTTTGAAGAGTCTGGTAGTGATTTCTGAGGTATCCTTTATATATGGTAAGACAATTTTCTTTGTGCTTTCCTTGGGGGCCTTTGGTTTGATAGGTTGGCTTGGGGTATATGTCTTTTGATGAAATTCCACGAATATCCATTCTTTTGGAAGATGTTCATGAGACATTTTTCTTAACGTTGGAGTGCTGCAATGAATCCTGGTTGGACCTCATGAATAGTATTTGTATACAATTCCTTTTGTGTGTTATTGGATTGTTGTTGCTGTTGTAATTCTGTATTTGGTCTTGAAGTCTTCAAATTGAAGTATGCGCTGAAGATGTTGCCTAGTAGGGCGATGAAAGCTTCGCAAATTAACTCTCCAGCTCAGAGAACACAACTACATAAAAAAAGACAAGTATAGAACACAGGTCCAAGGGTTCGTGCCTATGGTTTCAAACCATTAAACTACAGTTCAGAATGTGTAACACATTTTGCGTCAATGAAATTGGAGAAAAATAATTGGTCTTTCACTTTTATCTTGTTTTTTTCTTGCCCTCTGTCTTCAGTTTCAAAGTTTTTTTCCTTCACGTTCCCAGTGGAACATAGGGCTTCAAGCCAGTGTCTTGAAGTTTCTGTAGCAGTGTTTATTTTTACAGGATGGAGTTGCTAGCCTCATACCCAACCTTTTCCTGTTTGCCAGCTTTTATTTCTGGCTTAGCGAGGTAAAGGAGTGCGTCTGTGGCCGGGGATAGCTCCCCGGACCATGTGCATGGTCAGTGAGCGTCCTAACCACTGTGCCACCGACGCATGCTAATGGATTTAACCTTAACTAACTTCAGTGACTTGGGGGTTGACTTGTTATCGCCAGGGAATAATACTTTCGTTGACTTAGAATATGCGGATGATATAGTCCTTCCTCCTAGGGGAACACACTGACAAGATTCAGCAGTCTTCTGAACACCTTGAGGAGTAGCAATCTTCGAATGTTTGGCATGCTATTCAAATATAAGATGATGAGGCTACGGAACTGAACTACATCATCATTCACCGACGCACCAGTTTCAAATTGCTTGTGTAAATAAATACTGGGAAGACTATTTTGTGTATACATTCTTAATTTTTTCATTTCTTTGGCACTCATAATGGACTACGTTTCACAAGTGAGGTTTAGCAGTAATATCAATATCCTACCACTTTTTATTAGTTTTTCTCTGAGGTCATCCCATATGTGTCCCTCTTCCTTCTTCTCCTGTTTTCTTCTTCTTCTTCTTCAGTGTTCTAAATTACCATCATTCCTGTCTTCAAGTGAACACACTGATTCGTCGTCATCTATGCCTGATTCAGTTTATTCGGATACTCCTGAGGAGAATGATGAAAAGCAGTTACTAGGGAATAATAATTTTCAATCTACTGATAATTTTGTTATCGGTCGGAATATGAAGTCATCATCAGATCATCGTCGATTACCAACGCGTAAAATTGATCGTCAACATCCTAATTTAGCTGTAGTTGTACCAGCTGATTTAGGTGGTTCACGAAGATCTACAGCTTATATGCGTTTAAATAATCGTGTTCGTATTATTGAGCGTAATGTTTCAGTCAGTATGAGGTAAGCCATCGCTTTCTTATTACACTTTTTATTATTTCCACTGTAAACTTTTGTTATTTTTCTCCATCATTATCATCAGCCTTTTGATATGGATACACACTCAGGACTAAACGTAAACGTGATTTGGATGTTTACAGTCGTATGCAGAAAGCTTGGGAGTGGTTCTGCGATGAGAGCTGTCTGCGAGACAAAATTGTAGACATCAACAATCTACGCGTCAATGTTTGCGTCCCAAATCGGGGTCGTGAGAAAAAAAACCAAGAAATTAAGCCTAACCTTGAGGAACTTAACAACCAATCACAGCAGACTTGACGTGTGCAAATACGATTCGCAGATATATGGCTTAACTTTCTAAGAAACGGCCACAAGCAGTACAGAATAACCTTCAGCAGGAGAACAACCAATCAGAAGAGGTTGCTTCTCTGTTAATAATAACGCTGATAATAATGTACATAAAAATCTATGAATATCTGTTGATTTTCTGAATAAAGGATCTGTTGTCTGGTCCATGTCTTCCGTCGTTACAGTTCTACCTAGATTTTCAAAGTTGAGTAAGTATCTTGAAGTGGAGTACGTTAACTAATAAAGCTTCAGCCTTACTAGCCGTTACATAACACAGTAGACATGGAATAGATTGGAATACCTGAAACAGGAAGCGCATTAATATTGGATAACCATAGAGGCCAGGACACATTTGACCGGTTTAGGGTTGTATCCGTATGAAGAGGTCATTATTGACCACTGCACAGTTATCTGGGATGGATAATTTCTCGGGTCAGCGTTTTCTACCTCCACTTCTTAGAGTGCCTGGCCTACAACTGCTAACTTCTCGTGGTGGCAGGACTTGAACACCGCATCGACCCAACAAGGTACACTGGCTGCGACTTATGTTCCTGTTGGTCCCAGCATTTCAGGAAGGTTCTTTGGATAGCGTTTATACTTAAAAGCAGTTTCTATAGGATACATGAGCTCTATAATCTAATCGGTTCGGATGGCGTATGAACCTAGATTAGTCACCGGTAACCATGGTAAAGTAGCTGCTGGTTCTGCTCCTCTGCTCAAACACTCGGGGAGTATAGTCCCTTAAGATAATCACCTGCTTCAGCCTGGCCGTCCGGGCAGTATTTAAGGTCTCACGCAATTTGAGTGGCGCATCTTCTTGGTGCCATAGTGTACCAAGAGTGCATAGGAATCATGGCTGGCTTGTTAAGTCGTCCGAGGGAAAGAAAGTATTACTGCTGTTACACACACACCCCTACTCGCCAGCAGTACTACTTCACCATCAGACCTGCAACACAGTTGATAATCACTTAAACTGTAATGTTTGTTTGTTTAAGACTTTGCTACATTTTGATGCAGTAATTACGTTTAAATTATTTTTGTTAATACCTGAAAACAAGATTGTTGACGAAATTGATCAAATTCTCTTTGTTTATTCTGTCTATAATCAAATAAACACTTTTGATAGGCTTCTCAACAATCTCAAAAAAAAAAAATCTGTTATGCAATAAATGCATAATAGAGATGAATTTTTGAGAATAGCCTTTGGTATTTTTTCAAAATTATTATTTAAATTGATTAAATGTAGAAAAAAAAAGATTTCAGTTCAAATTGTCATTTGGCTTATGAATTCCGGCTTTGATTTGTTTGCATCTGAGCATGATTAGTGAACAAGGAATATTCTTTTCGATGACCTGCTCGTCATCAGATTCTACAGTTATATGTACACAATAGTGAATGAATGAATGAATGAATTAAGGTTATTAACAAGATTTATGTTGTTTAAATAACCTCGGATCAATAATAATGTCAATGGATTACAGTCCAGTGGCATAAACATAACACTACACACTGAATATCAGAAAATATAGGGGAAATAATATTACAGATTCATGAATTTATACTCTCCACTGAAAACTAGCCAGGTCGTTAATGGTGGCTGGATTTGCTTCTTCTGCACACAGAGCACAGGTTGTTTTCAAGTGAATCTCGTTGGCCACCGTTGTTTGGACTATGCTGTGCCTGGATGCTTTTCGCAATTTGTTTGGAACCCGGTAGATGATGGGAGAGGACTCTTAATTATAAGCTTTGTGGCCAGCCGGTTTGTACCAGGTATTCTAATATCCAGCTATAGATGCTGCTCACTACACCTATATTTATTTAACCACACTGGTAGATGTTCCCGAGAGAGCACAAAAAATCAAATTCCTAGAGCAACGGCCAGTATAACTTGCTCCACCATGGGCACAGTTGAATTTATAGATGCAATTGGAAGTGGCTAGTCTAGGTACTTCATCCTTCAGTCGAGGAATCATCATCGTTCGTGTAGAGAATAAGACGTATAGTTATCCAGCATTAAAAGTTCTTTGAATGGATTTCTCTTAACTTGTTAGTAATTATTTCACTCGGTACGTCACCTTTGAATTACAATCGTGTATATATTAAGGCTTTTTTGTTTATGGATAGTGAATAGTCCTTTTCAACTTTCTTAATCATCAGGAAACATCCAGGTACTGCGAACTCCAAACAACAGAGGCTATTGCAATTCGCCTCACAAAAAACCGGTGTTCTCTGTGCAGAAGAAACAAGTTCAGCCACTGCTACTGCTCTGGCTGGTTTTCAGCGGAGACTATAAATTCATGAATTTGTATCATTATTAGCACACACTCTAAAAACCTATTATGACTAATCGCCATCATTGTCTCCCATTTTACAATATTTTGTAATCGATTTCAGCTTAGCACGACGTATGTCACACAAATACGACTATTTAGTTTGACACCCCATAACTAATCTATTATTCTACGTAAAAAAATGTATCCGCCGCATAACTGGCTATCATTATTGTAACGACAACAAATATTATATTCGATAATTGTAAGAACCTGAAGAGGAGAAATTATTGAAAAGAATATTCTTCGTTTGGATTGACTTTTGATTCATGATATGGGAATATTTCACAGTATTATTATTTTTTCCTTAAGTTCCTAGGGGAACATAGAGCTTCAGCCACACGTCTCCATTTCGTTCGGTTCTCTGCTAGAGTCTTCACCTGGCTCCAAGTCTGCCCATATTCTCTCATCTCCTTTTACATGACCTACTCCTCCTCCTTCATGTCACTCTCGCACTGACGACCAACTCGACGCTTCCCCTTCGGCTTGCATTCGAGCAATGGCCTGGCGTGTGATGTCACCTGATGAATTGTTTTCTCAGAGTATGACCAATCCAATTCCATTTCTTCCTGCTTATTTGTTGCAATATTGGTTCCTGCTGGGTTGGGTCGCCACCAGAGATTCCTCCTTGTTGGTGATCTTTTCTAGTCATCTGATCTTGAGTATTGAACGAAAACAGCTGTTGATGAAGGTGTGTAGTTTGTTCGAAGTGCGCCCTTCGTGACGCGGCGCCAAGCCTCTGATCCGCATAGTGAGTAGCACTGACTTCACATTGGTGTTGTAAATCCGTACCTTGTTTTCCATGTTGAGTGCTGTTGATCTGCACACAGATTTGAGAGTGATCAAAGCTTGCCTTGCTTTGTCGATGATCCTCGCTTTGATATTCTCATCAGTTCCATCCGCCTGTAGTTGAAACTATGCCTTTCTTTCAGATTTCTCCCATTTATATTGATTGTTTTCTGTTGTTGTTTCTGTGGCTGTTGGCCAGGAATCTTCATCACCTCTGTTTTCTCTATGTTTACCTGAAGGAAGTCCTATCGTTGATGCTTCTTCTGCCAACCTGTTGCTTTCCACTTGCATATCTTCCAGTATGTGGGAAACCAGACAAATGTCACCGGCGAAGTCCAGATCCTCCACGTTTTTTATGTGGGTCCATTCTATGCCTGTTTCCCCGCTGCCTGGCTCGCTGTCTGTCGCATTATCCACTCTACCACAATGAGGAAAATCATTGGAGTTGGTAGACAGCCAGCTTATCTTACTCTCGTCTTCACTTCAAAGGATTAGATCTCATTATTATATTCCCTAATTTTTCTGATATTCAGTGTGTAGTGTTATGTTGATACTATCGAACTGTAATCCACTGATATTTATAGGAATCTGTGATTACTTATTAGCCAATTCAGATGATTTAAATATTCACTCTGGAACTGTTCCTCTTGATAATCGTGTGGCGTTGTGTGCTTCCATGTAGAGTCATGTGTCATTTTTGGAAATCTCGGAATATGTTTTATTCATATTGAAGGTTTTCAGTTATTTTCTGTCATCTAAACTATTTAGAAAGCAATAGTGCTCAGTGTTCAGTGGTGAGGAATGCCCATGTCCATCACACCTCACGTGGTACGGATTCGAAACCCAACCTATGTACATTCCTCCTTAAATCTTGCTATACTGGTAGTGAAATATCCTTTAAAGAGAGTAGGATGGGTGTAAGGTTATTTATCTCACCCTGTAAGAACATCACCACCATCATGAAGACACCAAGGCTCAAACTTGAAGTCCTATGTTTCTACTCAGAACACGAAGGAATGAAAGAAGGAATCATTTTACTGGTTTTCCTGTTATTCGTATGCTTTCTTAACTGTAAAAGTATGTAGTTTTGAATTAGTTGTATTCTTAGAAGTGGTTGTTTTAACCGCGAAGCCTTCATCATCCCCCTGTCTAGACAACATCGCTTCATCTCAGGTTTTTATGAGGGAGCGAACTCATTTGAATTTCTCCATGATTGGTGGTATAATTGTATCTCCTGGCGGCAACCATTGTCGTGATTGGTTGTTGATTTACGTCTCTGTTGTTCATTTTTATTGACTTGGAATTTGACCTTTTTCGTGTCATGTGATTCACTTTTTATTAGCTGATAAATTTGGCCTATAGTAACGTGTATGTTGACACCTGATTCATTCATTTACATAGTAACTCGATCACAAAAAAAATCACATGATTCGTGGGTCCTATTATACTATCACACATACACACCCACTTATGCAGTAAATATAATAATAATATGGTTATCCCTATCTACGCAGGTACACATCAATTGTTTAGGCATGGATAAATATTATTTAAATTACATAGATTTGGTTTATGACGAATTCACATGGTCTCCGTCCTTTTTAACTTTAGTTTGTGGGGACAGTCGTGTGCTCTTGGAGGTGTGTAGGCGGTTGTTACTTCTCAGCTGCCCACAGCGTGGAAGTTGATTAATTCTTCGGGGACCTGAAACAGAGACAGGGTTAGTGTTGCGTGACCACAGATATCAGGGGACAACTACTTGATGCTGGCCGGTCACACACGGCCTGTATGAACTGGTTGTTGGTTTAGTTCCGTATTAGTAAACTTACCGCCGGTTAAGGACCACCGTAGGGTGTACAATTTTTGGGGTCGACCTTTTCTAACCCCGTTTCTCCAGAGTGAAGAGACAGCATAGCTGGCTGGCATGCTGGTCATCTGAGGGAAACACCTCTGTTGTCGAAAACAGACAGACAGAGGGAAACACCTCACTGTGACTGTTATATTCCTGCCTCCAAAGCCTCAGGATGGTCGGGGGTGGGTGCCTTGCGCTGCGGGTTGGCCACCCCTCCGCACACCTCTGGAAATGCCCCCATATGACCGGGCGTCTTACATAGCCTCTCCTGAGGAAGTCCTACTCACTGCCTTCACGTGGCGGAGGTGTTTCTCACCAAAGTGAGAGGGCAAAAGCGGATGCCTGGCGCTCCTCACCGGGTTGACTGTCCATTGGATGACTGTCTAGGGGAGATGGCTAAACCCTGATTCCAAACCTCCAACGACTGGCGTATGAAGCTTACTGGAGCTCACCGGCAGACGTATGGACAAAGGGCTTGTTGGATGTCCTGGATGTCTGGCCCCATTCAAAAAGGCGTATGAACCGAACTCCGGTCACCGGCTGCCAATGGATAGTGGACTCCTTACTCCACTCCTACTGCCTTGTAGGTCACACTTGGCTGTGTAAAGGCTAGAGCTGCACTCTCAAACAAAAGGCCGAGCGACGCTGGGGACATCACTCGTACCAAATTCCCATGAAACCACATGAACTCTCTTACAAATTGCCGCGCCTGGGCAGCGATGATTCGAGACGTTCATGAAGCCGGCTCATCCTCCCGTAGGAGATAACCGAAGTAAAGTAAAGTAAGTAAGTTCCTCTGCAGTACGACTTCACCCCCAGAACCTCAGTATAGTGTTAAAAAAAAATTCTTTCACTATTCCGGTAACTGGTTTTAATCTAATCGCTATCCTAGCAACCTTCCTGGCATGGTATGACCTGGAGGAACGATAATTCCAACCAGTCTAGCTTGTTGGGTCATTGGGATGTACAAGCCCGACCACCATGTCAAGGTAGCAGCTATCGGTCAGTTGAAAATAGACAGACAGGGAACAATCGACTAATTAGTCAGTCAATATAGCGCGTTAAGAAATATAGAAATATTGCCTTAGCAATAAAACAAGAAAATAAAAGCCAGGTCTGTGCTGAATGGATCATAAAAACATAGAGTCACTTCTCCCATATAACTTTGTTGTGTACGACATGCCATCTTATTCTTGATTTATAGTCAGATATTGTGTTCCTTTGTATCACTCTGTCAACAGTGTCATCGTAGGTTACCATCAAAAGTGAATTGTACTTCATGCAGACAAATGTCGACCATAGCCCCAGACAGGATTTATTTTACTGCACTATAAAGTCAGCCATTACCGCAGGTTGTGTAGCTGCTTGGTAGTCTGTACGCTTCAATTGATTCAGGTGTGGAAAACTGTTTAAAAAAAACAGTTTCATCTTCAATTTAAATCATGAATACTGCTCGTGCAGAATGCTATTATTCAGCGTCCTGATGACATGGTGACATGTGAGCTTTTGGAGGATGTTAACAGTTATTGTGAGTCAAAAGCTTGTAAAATAATGTGGTGCATAGTACGTAAATGGCTTCAATTTCTGTTTGACTTCAGACTTACTGTAGGTCTGCGCAACCTTCCACTACAAGGTAAATAAGAGAGAAAGGGGTGAGCAGCAAAGTAGTATCAGAAAATGAGAAGCATGTGGACATAAATAGAACTCTTTAATGTCTTTATATAAACAGCAAACTTCTACAATAGCGTCCCAAGGGATGCGAATGCACCAGTGACCTTGAGCTGACCAATCAGAAAAAGTGAAGGAATTTTGCACAAAAAACTACATATATTTACTTAAAAAGGCATGATAAAAAAATATTAAACAGGGTATTTTTCTCTGATCTGAGATAAAAATATGTCCCAATTATAATCAGGAGTGTCAGTTTTTAAATTAAACCAATTTCTATACATGTATTCATCCAGGTGGCTAAAAATAACTTGGTTTTGAGAGCCGTTTATTGCTCTTATTCTATTTTTTAATCTTCCCCAGGAACCCTTTATTGAATTAGTATGAGTACCGGTTCCGGGATCGACGAAATCATCTGAATGGTATATATCCCAAATCCTATAATCGATTATATGCTGCCCGTTCATCCGTGTTTGTAGTGGTTCCAGACAAAAGCAGTCTTTGAATAATGGACAGAAGAGTGCCGGCACTCCTGTCTGGAATATAAGTTCAATGAATCGCTTCCTAATTTGGGTGTCATAAATTCCCAATACCCAAACGTTATTAGCTCTAGCCCGTCCTCAGTTGTATTTCATCTTTGTAAGCACCGTTTCGTTGATAAGAACGACAACACGGACTCCTCCCAACACTTGTGTAATATTGTTCATTTTCCATGATGCTAAATCTCGACAAAATGGAAACCACTGAACAGTAGATGTCAACGTATTTTCTGTCTGAGCCACAGTTGACTTCACACCGGACTTCAAAATCCAGTAATGGCAAAAAAAAACAGTCAATTCGTCAAATAAAGTTCCTAGAAGACAATTAACTGAGAGTGTCACTTACGCGTACGAACAATTGTTTGTTTCTTACACTCCGTACATCTAAATATATATCCATCAATGACCTGTGAATACGGTTACAGGTTCATTGAATCACCACAGGTACATCCTATCAATCCATTATTCAGACAGTATTGAAATACGTGATCTGGGTGGAATTTGCACCTGAGCAGATGGTCAGCTTTCATATTCGTCCCAGAATAATCGTAAGTTTTGTTCAACCAACGACTAGCATGCATTCAAGGTCATTTGAGCGTTCGCACTCCCTGGGACGCTGTTGTTGAACTTCGCCATATAAATATGTTTATATTTACTGTACATTGCTATCTCGTAAACATGTATATTGATATTCTCTTAGTCTTTTTTAATTCCTTTACGTTCCCAGTGGAACATAGGGCCTTGTGCTAGAGACTTGTTGTTTCTGTAGCAGTGGTGTCTGTTTTTATGGGATGGGGTTGCTAGCCTTATACCCAACCTCCGCCCTTCACAAGTCTTATTACCGGCTTAGCGAGGTAAAAGAGTGCGTCGGTGGCCAGGCGTCGAACTGTGGACCGCACGGGGCGTGGTTGGTTTACGAGCTTTCTACCGCTGTGCCACCGACGCACCTCATAGTCTTAGTACATGGCAAATCTATTCTGTTTTATTATCATCTTCGTCAGCCTTTTATATAACGTACTTTCCTATGTATCCTTATAATATATGCTCTATGTCCTGTATGTGTTCTTCTCGTTCGATCAGGTATTTAGAAGAATTGAGTCAAAGTTATCGTCGTCAAATGGAACGTTTATCACGGTCATTCAATCTTACTTATGCTTGGTTAAAGGTAACAGCTCATGGCGCTGAAGAACGTGATCGTCAACAACAGGTAAATACTTCTTCTTCTTCTTCTGTTCAATTATACATTCATGTATTATTTCTGTAAATGATTTCTGCTACAACTTTTTTTATAAATTGAAATTAATTGGGAAATTTATGAAGAATTTCATCTGAGATGATTTCCTGACGAATTGACATCAGTAACAGGATCATTGAAAACCAAGGAGTAATGGGTAGCTGTTTCATCTTGGTTGGGAGCTCTTCAGCAGCACGCAGTCATCACTCTACCAGAGATGGAAACCCAGCACCTCTAGGTCGACCATTTAGCTGCTGGATTTGACACATGCATTATAACTTTCAAAACTCCTTCATCTGCTGCCATTTTTCTGATCTAGATTCATTCCATACTACTTTTTGACTAGTGTCCAGTTTTGATTCCTATCCTTTGTTTTCTGTTAAATATATAGTAGAAGGGGGTGTTTTGTGGTTTAAAAAAATAGGCGTTTATTTTAAGGCTGTATTGATTTCCGAAATCTGTTTAACTTATGATTTTATTCTTCGAAGAGTGATATAGTATCTTATATTACAGTTGACTTAGACGAAGTCAACTATGTATCTACTATGAACTGATTATAATTCAGAACTTCGTTAATGTTATGTACTCGTCGAGTAGTTAATAGTCCTGACGCAAAAGGAGGGAAATCAGAAGACCACCAGGTTCGCGATAATACTTGTATTTTCCAGACAAAGAAAATAAATGTCACACAAGTGTGTGAGTGAAAAGGTACGCAATGTGTGTGAACCAGAATACAGTAAAAGAGTATATATGAAAATGGCTAATACACATGAACCAATAGATAACGTCTTACCATGATTGATTGTAATGTCATGTGACAACAAGTCATACATGTTTATTTAGTTAGTGGACAGACAAAAGCATATTGTCAGTTATAATGGAATATCGATCCATATACACATAGCAAAATATAATAGACTGTCAACAACAAACACACACACATCATGTGACTGCATATCAGTTAACAGCTGTTTTAGCTCATTACTCAAGATCAGATTGCCAGAAAAGATCAGCAACAGGGATCTCTGGCAATGAGCGAACCAACCCAGCAGGAACTGATTGTGAAACAAATCTGCAGGAAGAAATGGAGCTGGATTGGCTGGCCATGCTCTGAGGAAACCATCAAGTGACATCACTAGACAAGCCATTGCTCGAGTGGAACCCAACGGGAAGCGTCGAGTTGGTCGTCAATTCAAGGGTGACTTGGATGGGTCATGTGAAGAGGAGATGAAAGCATGTGGGCAGACTTTGAGCGGAGTGAAAACGTTGGCAGAGAACCGAACGCAATGGAAACGCGCGGCTGAAGCCGTATATTCCTCTAGGAATTAAAGGAAATAATAATGATAATAATTATTATGTTTCTTTAACCGGAAGTAGTTGCGTCCGATGTTGCTTCTACTGTTCGAAGCTGAATGTTTTTGTTTTAATCCGTCAAATGGTCGTCACCTGGAACATTTATCAATGGCTAAAGCCCAACCGAAATCATGTTGTTTTTAGGTGTTAATGAGAATCACCATATGGATCTATGGATCAACTTTATAGTGTAATTGATCAACTGAAAGTATCCAAGTGTTGTTGATTTGCAGCAATTTGACTTGATAATTGATGATGACAGGATTTCATCCTGAGCTGATATCGGTCACGGAACTATTGGAAAATCATAAGGGAGTACTGGACAGCTGTTTTGTTAGCCTACTTTGAGATTGTTCAGCAGTACGCACCCACCACCGGGCGCGAGCTGAAAGGAATCAATCACCATGATGTCAAGTGATTGCAGGCAATTAATAAGAAGTCCCACCCTCTGTGTACATTGATACTTGTCAACGGAGAGTGCATTTTTACCTCTAATTTTTCAAACCACAATTAGTATATTGTGTCTTCTAGCTAACAGAAATATGCATGTAGATTGGAGCTCCACATTTTTCACAACTTGCAGTTTTGTCTATTTATTTTGTTGAAAAACGAACTACGTACATTTTTTTTTATTCCTTTACGTTCCTAGTGGAACATAGGGCTCCAAGAGCTAGAGGCTTCAAGTTTCAGTGCTTTTATTTATTTATTTTTTACGGGATGGGGTTGCTGGCCTCATGCCCAACCTTCCATCTATACCAGTCTTTTTACTGGCTTAGCGAGGTAAAGAAGTGTGTCGGTCAGGGATCGAACCCTGGACCACATACTTGGTGGGCGAGCACTCTACCGCTATCCCATCGACGCACCAGCTACGTACATTATGCTCATCAAAAGAGATGCGCTATGCAGAATCCCATAGTTTGTGCCAGAGTTTTTGTATAAATACTGTTCGTTTGCCCAAACTGAAACAGGCAGGTATCTCTTAAGATACCACCCGTGAGTGTTTGACTTGAAGTCTGTCATAGAAGGCATTAAAGCAGCGTCAGGAGTTACGTGCTAATGGTTGTGATGATGGCCAAAACAGGTTCACATACGTCATTCACTCCGTTCCGGTTATCTGTCTGTCTGTTTTCGACATAGAACAACTTTGCACCGATGTGCACCACTTCGAGTCGCCACACTCCATGTAGCACACAAACCAAGAGAAGAAAGTAGAAGAGATGCATATTAGAGACAGTAAACAGAGGTGTGAGACAAAGGAATACTAATAGCGAAGAACAATACAGTTTCATTGGAAATCATAAGTCACAAGGAGTGGATGCATCCGCGCCAGCCATTGAAAACGATTTTGAGCCATATCGCGAACTGTTTCGGCCATTGTTTTTTACCGTCTCGAGGACCCCAAACAGTCAATCAGTCAGTCTACACCTTCCTACGTGGCCTAAACTAACTGTTGCAGATTTCATCGACTGGTGTCATGTTTTGGTTTGACCGCTGCCTAGCTCTTCTCCATCCTTCCCCTATATCAGTTAACATTCCCCGTTATCGAGGAAGGCGATGACTAGACATTGATGCGTAACACATGTTCTAACCATTTCACTCGGTCGATGTAGCTTCGTGTCCTCGTCTATTGATTTCCCCTCTTTACCTAGAACTCGAAGCGTAACCTTAATATTCCTCACCCTATCACACCTACCACTTTACACGAGAGATAAAGCGCAGACACCTATGATCAAAGACAGCTAGCCAGGCTTTTCATGTCTTCCACTCTCAATGGCCAGGTCTCACAGCTGACCATAAAGGAGGACGGAGTGGACTGATGAGCAATACACTCACCCTTTGGTGGATAGTCGGATATCACGTCTACCATTCCGGAGACGGTGTAAACTGGCACATGCGTTCGGGTTGTGAAACCCCTATGCTCCGTAGGTTTGGAATTAGAATTCTCCAACTGTCCTATGTGGACTAGTCTATTCAGCAGCACCGGCTCTTGACAAGCTTGGTCACATTAGAGCATTTCGAGCAACAAATAGAAGTCTATCCACCCTCAGGTGTGTGTACCAGATCGTTTAAAAGGGTGGGGGGAGGATAATAAGTTGTGACTGCTTTCTGTTATCGAAAGGTAAATCAATAAACAGCAGTAAACAATCAGTTGTTTTCTTCATGAATTACAACTGAATGTGCATAACCTTTCGTGGGTATTATTGTTAACCTTAATTAAATATTTTTTAGCTAATGATTGAATGTATTGTAAGTGGTGGATGCGATTATTGAATGAAGCTGTGCATGTGTATGTATGTATGTGTGTGTGTGTGAGGGAGAGACAGAAAGCAAGAATGGAGCATAGATACTGTACTTTATCATAAACAGCATATTTTGTATATATGAATACTTGAAATGAATGAAACCTGTTAGCGAGCATGCGCACATCTTCTAGACTGGCCTAGTTACAAAAAAACTCAGACAGCGGTCAGAAACAAACAGAAAACAAACAAACAACAAAACAAACTTGTTTCGACAATATGTCATTATGGCTGTACACGTAGAAGCGTTGTTCAGTTAGAATCGATCACATGCACTGCTATTATGGATCAATTTTTTAGTATATTATTCCGCCCAGTGTTTGACACGGCGTTTTCTGCAATTAGCGTGGAATTAAAAAAAAACACAAACAATTTAATGCTCTTTTTTACCACACTAGGCTATTATTAGTTTAAAAGCTATTAGATTATTCCACTATAGAACACGCATGCAGAGGACAGAAGTAGGATTTAATTGGTGGATGGTGACCGGCAGTGGAATTCAGGATGCCCACTTCGTCCTAATTGGGACTCGTCATCTGGATGTACCTGCATTTCTCAGTGAGTGATGATGTTCCCGCAGAAATGCGCATCCTGGATTCCACTGCTAGCCACCATCAACCGATTAAATTCTAATTAAATGCCCAGACATCGTCGAAGCATCTACATAAGAAGCTGACATGTCAACCTGAGACCAAGCACTTTGGTCCAATCAATCGACAGGAAAATCTGAAATTCAATTTTTTAATTGAATTAAGAGGAAGGATAACACTGAAATTTATTTAAATCATTGGGAGAATTAAATTATTTGTACCTTTGATGAATTGGAATAAGGCATTTAGAAGACAAATTTCGTGAGATGATATCATCATTTCGTTGTTTCTTTGCAACCGCCTTACAACTCACATGGTTAACCGTAATAAAATAAAGATCATGACAATTACTCAGTTAAATAAAAAACAAAAGTACATTCTAATGACCAATCATATTTAAATAGGTCATGTAGTCTATGGTAGACGAAGGTTGAAGTCTATTGTGCTTTGTACACACAGTTTACGCTGTATGTGATTAATCCCCCAAAGTGCTTCCATCATCTTTAATCACCAACCCTGAATTACAGTTATGTGATGAAATAATTGTGAAACAGTCATTAATATTGATTGATTTTGTGACCTGACATTAATAAGTGTTTTGCAATGGATGATGCTGCTGGATTTCGATTCAGATTAATCGCATTGGGATTTTCTATATGATTTATTAACCATTTTGGAACATGTTCTTTCCGATGACATTGGAACATTCTGTTGGTTCTACCTATATAGG